ACGCATCCCTTGATCTTGTCCAATAGATCCTTTCGATTCCTCCAATTGTCAAGAATGGCACCATATCTGCAGACGAGACCAACTCAAAATGGTAAATTTGAAAGACACACCCCCAATCTAAGGCAAGAGAGTTGATCATAACCATTAACTCAATCCCTTCATATTATGATTATAACTATATGTGCCTCATTTGTGAATGAAACAGTGATATCAGAACATATATTGGTAAAGACCAAATGAAAATCAGGAGCCCAATAAGTCAACCTACGCAAGCCAGCCGGTATTGCTGAAAGTATGGAAGATCAAGACCCTTTCCCTTCCGTCCTTCTCTGACTGTGACAGCCACGAAGCCAGCTCACTAGCCATGGATGAAATCCTCTCCTCGAGTTTTCGGGCTAAATCAAAGGAAAGGACATCTCTCACCGAAGCTGCAAACGTTACAGAATGAATACCCATGGACTTATACAGCTCAATGTACCTTCTCAGGTGCTTAGGCTTGGCTCCTAGCCAACCCAGTAAGACCACAGTCACCACAGGCCCATTACTTCCCAGACATCGAATTCCCCGCCCCTTTTCTCCGTCCGGAGCAAAATGCCAATCGAAGATCTTGTCTTTGGGACCCCAGAAGATGCGCGCAAAAATAGGAGATGAAATTATGGGATTCAGAAGAGAAGAACGGGAAACCATTGTGGGTGAGTGTGGGAAGGTGGGAATTGAAAATAATGCGTTCCAGGGTTTGCCATTGTAGATGGAGAGTGACAGACGGGAGGTTGGAATTGGACGGAAACGATGTGGAATTGTTGAAATATGTTTGGGGTAAAGGCTATGAGAAGGGGTTCGGAGGAAGAGAGCTACGGAAATGGGGCGGTTTGAGGAGCCCAATAATCTTACGGTGGTTTCCATCGCAGCCGGCGACGTTATTCAGTGACTAGCGGGAGTGCGCTGTTTCACTTTGACGGGATCAATAAAAACGTGTTCTCAAGTTCAAATCTCAAAAGAACTTATTTTCCTAAATCATATTCTTAAAATATGGGAATCATGTCTTATGCTTTTTCTCGCCCAAACACTATATTTATAAACCAACGATTTTGATCTATATTTTTAATCTACGGTAATTATAATTAAGCAACATGCAAATATGGCTTTATTTCATTTTATAAAAGGAAAATACCTTATAAGATTCATGTGTAATTTAATGCGGTGTATATAATAATATGGTCTTATAAAAGGAAAGCATTGTGTATATATAAATGATACGGTTTTAGACACTTGGGTTGAACCACATCAAAAGATTGAATTCAATCGATTAGTTAGTTCAACTCAAGAACTTATATACCGATTATTTTTTGCTCTTGAACTTCTCACTAACATATCTTAAACCGTATTTAAGAAGTCACTTGGGTAGGAAACGATAGGTACATGTTTCCCCTTCTTTTCGGAATAGGAAGATGTGGTGGAGATAAATTATGTGTTACACAATTGAAAAATATTATATTTCATTATATGGTGTGCTTATATATATTTTTTTAATAATACCAATATAAATTTAGAACGTTAATACGAACCGTGCAACGCACGGGATGTGATACTAGTTAGTTTTTAAAATGAAATAATTAACAAGATGGTACTCGGTAATTGAAAATACGATATTCCAAACAGCATTAGAACTTATACTAATTTTCCAAATTGATCATTTAATATGTAAACCGAAGCAGAATTCTTTTCTTTTAACTGATTCACGGTGTTAGAGCAAAGTCGGGAGACCATTTTTTATGAGATTTTATTTCTAAAATTGACTAATTTAGAAAACAGTTGATTAGAAATGATCAGTTTAGAAATTAAGTAGGGAGTATATGTTTTAATGTCATTTTGAATCTATTTTGATGGCGGTTTATCTGAGGACTAAACTGGGTATTAATTTCAATTAACGAGTACCATCTCGATAATTAGTTCATCTTAGGTACTAATTTGGAAAAACACATAGTTATTGAGTACAATTTTGAGAATTTACTAACCACTTTTAAAATAAATAGGAGTACTTAACTATTTTTTTCCCTCTTGGCCGCACAAACTAGCCCTTTACGATCTAAACTATCACCCACCCCTTCCCACTTTCAAGCACTATCACCGGCCTGCTTCTTCGCTCTATTCCAGTTGCGGCTGTTATCGCTCCAATCTTAATTAGGCCTCTCTCCTCCACCAATGTCTCTCCTCGTGCGACCATGATTCCACCGCACTCTACTCAATCTGTCTTCCTCTCATACAATCTCCGCAATATATATCGTACGACCGGTCGTACGATGTTTCTCGTACATCCGCAGTGAGTACTATTTTACGAGTAACTGAATACTAATTTTTGAGTAAATAAATAATCATTTTTGAGTAATTGTATACTAATTTTTTTTAAGTTCGGTTATGCTCGAAAATGACTATTCAGTTATTTAAGAATAAATACTCTGTTACTCGAAAAAAACATTCAGTTACTCAAAAATGAATATTTATGCGGATGTATGGAAAATACCGTACATCCGGATGTATTGTATAGGTACTCTACAATCTCCTTCATCCCCTCTCTATAATTTTTGTAGCCTTCGAGCGATGATGCTTCATTGCTTCCGCCGCCTTGCATAAGTTTGAATTCAATTCATATTCAATTTGACATAAATGGTTGTATTCAATTTGAAATTTGAAAGTTTACTTCCTAGAAAATTATTTTGTAAAATTGGTACTAATTCTTTCAGCCTTGCATAAGGTTGAAGTCAATTTCATATTCAATTTCACATAAATTGTGAAATTCGATTTTAAATGTGGATTTACTTCTTGGGAAATTATTTTATAAATTTGGTATTGAAGATGAATGATTATGGATGGTGTTGGTAGATCGTAGAGCTTCTTGACATTTACTTTTTTTTGACAGTATGCATTAACATGTGTGATATGTACGAAATATTAGACATTGGCATATATGTCATAATACATTGCCAGGTGTTGGTGATACGGAAGAATTAATTAATAATTTATGTTATTTAGTTAATAAACTATTTAATAGTTTAATTATTTATATTTACTTTTTTATTATTGAGTGGATTTATAACACTCTTTCGAGAGTGTCTTTTCGGTTCTTTATCTCGACACTTTTATTGAACCGACAGGCTTAGGGATTAGGTGTTTGCTAGGGTTAGGGTTTACCATCTTCATATATATATATATATATATATATATATATATATATATATATATATAGTTGTAATCCCCTTTAGAATATCATGAATGAAGAACAATAATATTTTCACTCCTAAACCCTAATCTCTCCTCCCTTCTCCCCTCAAATCTCGTCTTCTTCCTCCCCTCCTTGACTCTCTCACTTCTTCTCCCAAATTCTTTATCTCCTCCCCTAATTTCTCAATTTCTCTTCCCTATTTTGATACGATACCTTATCAGTTGGATTGTACATTATCATGTTTGAAATTATCTCTTTGTTTAACATTACACATTCGAATGTATGACTTTATATATTGATATGGTTGTCACTATATGGTTATCTGTCACATTAAGTGTGATTTTGTTTGACAATATATATAATATATGGACATTTTAATGTAGAAATTTGTTGAGTTTCTTTCTATGATGTATTAATTCGGGTCCACATATTTATTGATAAAGAATTTTGACACATATTTATAAGGTATTGATTCAGATCTCACATATTTATTGATCAAAAAATTTAGCATTAAATGTGGTCTTGTATTGACACTATATGGGCGGATGGATAAGACAACACTTAAAGGTGAGATTTCTCATGTTTCTTTTCTCTTCCTTGAAATCTCTAATGAGACTCTGAGTTGTCAATTAGGATTCTAGGAGCAAAAATGACTTACATTGAGGGAGTAAAAAATGAATTCAAGGACAGCACTCACTTCTGTGGGACAACTTTCCACAACACATAAATTTCATGAAAATTTACTTTACAATGATAACATTTTTCTCATAAAGTTGTCTTTATCTAGAATTTACTTACATATCACCCATTGTGAGGTATAAGAAATCAAATTTCTAATGTAATTGCTAGCTTCATACACAATGAGATTCATATCCCTAAATGTTATATGTGGCATAATTGTTCACCAAAGTTTTATTTTTTAATTTCACACCAACTTTTAAAAAAATGAATTGCAAACCGTTGCAGTCAAACCTCGTAAACAGCAACGTATGATTTAAATTGGAACAAGAGTATTTTATTTCATTTTTTCTTCCTAATTCTTTGAACCAAACTAATGGAAAAAAAATAGATGGACAAGAATTCCACCAATTGATCCAGCTCCGTGAGGGGATTGTGATAATATTATGACTAAAAGAACTCCAAAATTACACGCTATCGTGCTAGGTTTAGCTTCCGTCACGCTGAAGGGGAGGCGACGGCCTCCGGTAGCGCTATTCTCCTCTTAGCTATTCTCGTGTTTGCACCATGGTTATGTGGAAGGTTTCTTGAGCAAATCTCTCGAACTCAATAAAAGCACCAATTTGATGGACAAGAATTCCAACAATTGATCTGGCTCCGTGAGCGGTTGTGATAATATTATGAGTAAAAGAACTCGAGAATTACACTGTACTGTGCTAGCTTCCGTCACGCTAATGGGGACGTGACGGCTCGGGTAGCACTATTCTCCTCCTGGAGAGGATTGCGAGTGGGTTGATTAGCGTTGCTACGTGTCTGCACCATGGTCATGTGGTAGGTTTCTTCTTGAGAAAATCTCTCGAGCTCTCAATGAGAGAACCATTTGATGGAAAATAAATCCACCGAATATGCATTTTCGGGTATGAAATGCATATACTCCGTCTATGAAATACAGGAAAATATATAAAAAAGAGCGTAGACAATAGACTTTGACGTGGAAACCAAATCAGTGAAAAAAACATGCCTTTTTTGGCGATACCATGCCAACAAGGGTGTTTATATTTCAGGGGTATAATTGTACCGCATTTTGGTGTGATAGCCATTGATGGAGCTCAAAGCTCTATTGGGAAGGAGAAGACAAACAGGAAGAGTATAATATGTGTAGAATCTCCAAGGAGGTTCTCCCTTCTTCTGGAATATGTGCCTCTTAGATTGGGACTTGGGAAGGCGTGTTACATTGGTAGAGCGAAAATTTTCCCCAACAATTTTACACAACAAAACATTGGGAACATGTTACAGTGCTATGTATATTCTATACATAGGCCTTTGATTCTCCTCCCATTGAAGTAGCTTTGAGGATGGACAAATAAGCTATACATTTCTTCCGTTATCTCCAATCAAACATGGCCATATAAGGATAATTGATACAAGAACTCTGAGGAGACTAGCACAGACAACTTTTCACCTAAAACAAATAAAAGAAAACGAAAATGTGTTTACAGCGAACCCCAAACCTCAAAATGAAGATATAAGCTGTCCAGAGAGGGCTAAATAGAGATTATTTTCTGTGGAGAGTGAGAAGGGATCAGAGGTTTAGGGTTGACAGCCAATCCAACAGTTCTTTATTCACAAGCTCTGGAACTTCATCGTGGGGACAATGCCCTGCCTGCAGGTTAACAAGTGAAGTATTCGGGTAAAACTCCTTGATTCGACTGGCCTTCACAGGACTAATCCAGGGGTCCAAATCCCCCCACAGTAACAGCAGTGGGCAAGATAGTTGGGTCAAGATCGCATCGAGAGTGTACTTTCTTTGCTTTGACATAATTCGTGTCATCAGCCTACACATATAGACAACAAGATTATTCACTTCACGCTTTGTGCATTTCTCCATAAATATGAATACATTGACTTCACTAATGCTTTTTATGTCTCAATGCAACCAAAGGCCAATAGCACCGAAATACAAGGTTGTTGTTATTGTCATTCCTACAACTTGCTAAAACGAATGCGATGGCTAGAAAACACAATTCTTTTTTCAACAGGCCACCAGGTTGCTGCTAGTTAACAAACAAACATATATCTAACCACTTCAGTTGTCAAATTAAACATTTTATTGAAAGCTTATACAGAGTAGAACTTTTTGTTATCTGCGTCATACCTGTAATACACCTCTCCTGCATTGGGGTCAGCTGCAGGCCATGATATTGAATCAATGAGATAATCATCTACATTTGATGAATTTATGTAGACCTACAATTATAATGAGACTATAAGTAAATCTATTATTTTTTGGGCAGACATTAATTCTATAGAGATAATCACATACACTCTTGAGAATAGATTCAATTCGAGCAGGTTGTTTGGCTTGCCAAAACAAAACTCCAAGAACAATGCGCTGAATGATCTCCTTCACAGGATTCAGGACAAATTTCTGTAAGGTTGTGTCTTCTTGCTCATTATCTGTAGCACTTGCATCCGCAAAGTTTCCTGCACTGTTTAACAATACAACTCCTTTAACCTTCTCTGGATACGCTGCTGCTGCCACCAATGTTGTGAATCCTCCTAGACTGTCAAAGCACCATGGCATGTGAACTTAGTCATTTATATTAATCTCATTCATCTTCGTGTACAATATATATATATATATATAGCAAAACCACAACTTTTACCTCTCCTCCCTCGGTGAACCCATTATATGCCAGATTCTTAGGTCAATTTTAAGAGTAGCTATTGTTAATCACAACCTTATAACACAAGAGCCTGTAAATTTTGTGAGATATGTTTTTCTATTCTGTTATAATGAAGAACACCTGTTTCCAACAAAAACTGCTGGCTCTTTGACTATCTCTTTCAAGAAATCCATAAGCTGATCTCTCCAGATCAAGGTATCGTACTCAATGAGGGCCTTCTCACTCCATCCAAAACCAAGCAAATCCAGAGCATAAACCTTGTACTTTTTAGCCAGTTCAGGTATATTATACCTGAATTATTGAGGAATAATGTTTCTGAGAAAATCTCATAAATGAAGTCTGATATGGAAACGAATTCCCAAGAATTTGAGTTAGACTATGACACCAATGTTGTTAAAAATGGTAAATATTCGCCATGAATTAGACTGTGTCATGGCGAATATTTACCATTTTTAACGACATTGGTGTTAAGAATCCCAATAAATTGGTGATAGTGTTAGTATTGTGATTCTTAACATTATAGTTAGAATCATCATTTATAGTTAGAATCATCATTTAGCAGAAACACTTCAGTTTCCCAAATGTTTTGTGAGATGAACCAAAAGAGTTGTGCTGGATCAGGAGCTCAATTCATTCGGACCAAAAGAATGTGCTTGCACAAACAAAATGCCCACCTCCAGTGATACGCAGAAGCGCCAAACCCATGAACTAAAACAATCGGGAACCCCTCTCCTTCCACCACGTAATGAACTCTGTGGCCTTTCCACGTCCAGAAGTTGTACCCCTCTGGCTTAAATGGCAGCATTTCCGGTCCTATTTTAAAATTAAGTTGTAAATTCCAAAACAAATCTCAACCTGGCGGACAGATATTCTACTAATTAGCCAATCGTCGTGACATTTCCATGAATTAATCCCACAAGTCCGATTAGGGAGGGTAAGATGTATAAAATCAATTACAATCAGTGAGGTATCAAGATTAAACAAATGGGCAGGGTACTTAATGACCTTGAGGTGGTTGTGCAGCAGGTTCAGAATGGCTTATAACAGAAGCTCCGGAAGCAAAAATTCCCCTAAACCCGAAACCCTTTTTACTCAATTTGCACTTGCCTCCTTCAAACATTCAATGCAAACCAAGAATATGAATTTAGAAACTGGAAGAGACTTTCAAGGTTTAAATAAAATTGGGGTTCAATGCTTACTCAGGTTGATTCTTGCAGGGGCAATTACAAATGTCCCATTTGTGCTGAACAAATCTGTCCTAACCGTGCCTGGAACCGCGGCGAGGGAAGGTGACATCGTCTCAAACTCCGCCGCTAAGCTCTGGAAGGTAATTATTGAGCTTCTTCTGTCGGAGCTGCAGAAAGAATTTGCAAGTACGGAGTAGTAGAAAAGAAATGGCCTGATAGAGTTTCCTTTCCCTCTTTCATTTGCATCAATATCGGGTACTTGATTACAACAGCCATGTGAACAGAATGGGGAATGCTAGGGTAGACCAATATGGGTACCCCAAATGTATATCAAGCCAACACAGATACACAGATACAAAATGTCTGTACAACACAGACACTTTGTGTCTGTGTTGGCTTGGTGTACACTTGGGGTACCCCATGTTGGTGTACCCATAACTTAATTCGAACAGAATTCCTGCTTTTAGCTGCTGAGCATGTGACCCATGTCTGCCTTATTAAATTAGAGAAAAATGTTTGGGTACCCCAAAACTCTACCCAAGGTGTCCTCCCCATATTAGTGTAAAAAAATGAATAAATATTTGTGGTTACAAAATGAATGGTTACCCCTAGGGGTACATCAAATTCAAGTTTCTTAGAGCACTCGGTATACTCCTCACGCCCACCGGCGTTTCGGGACGTTTAATGCCTCGGAGGCGTTAAGCACCGCCCCCGCCGGGATTAACGGGCGTGAGGAGCCCTGCGTCAAACGAATGACGCTGCGTCATTCGTCTCCTCCTCCCCCCTAACGGCTTTTTTAGCCGTTGCATCCCCAAAATTCAAAAAAAAAAATTCTTATAAATTCAAACCTCCCTCTCCCAATCTCTCACACCGTCTGCATCTTCAATCTCTTCTTCTTCCCAATTTTTAAAATTCGAAATTACCCCCTCTCTTTTCAACATAAATCCTTTCGGCTCCGGCTTCTTTCCCAACGATCTCCCGCCAAGTGACGCCACGATGTGGTTGTACCAACAGTGGGGCGATCGACCGCTGATCTACGAGACCCAACAATCGGGGTACGTCGACCGAGATTCGGTTCCAGAGACTCAACCGGAACCGTCCGGATCGAAAAAAAGTACACGCCGGAAATGCCACAAAGCCAAGAGTACGTTGATCGAGGCGGCACGGTCAATCCAAAAGTGGACGCCGGAGGAGGAGTGCATATTGGCGTCGGCTTGGGTTGACATCTCCGAGCATCCTATCATTCGTAAAAAAATTATTTTTTCTAATATATTTATGTTTTTATTTATATATATATTATATTTAATGGTGTCTAAAAAAATTATGTAATACATTTTTTAAGGTACGGAGCAAACGAAGGATGCAATGTGGGATCGTATCGAGGAGAAGTTCTTCACGACGATGAAGAAGAACGGCTCCTACCGAACCCGGGACCAACTCACTTCCAAATGGAGCCACATCAACAAAAAAGTCCGAAAGTTTACCGGAGTTTACGAGGAATGCTCCCGGTCCCGGAGAAGCGACACGAACGATGCCGATGTTCTCCGGCTTGCCACGACCCGGTATCAAGACGACGGGCACCAAGGCAAGGTGCCCATCGATCTTTGGAGGATTTTGAGTCGTTCCCCGAAGTGGCAACAACTCAACAATCCCGATGGCGGATCGTTTCGGAAAAGATCCACCGTCGACGCCGAGGTTGAGGCTGACGAGACTATCGGTTCTACCGATCAAATCCCTCCCTTCAACGTTGCGGATTCCAATGACGAGAACCCCATTCCACGGCCGATCGGAAGAAAGAAGGCAAAATCCATTGCCTCTAGTTCGGAAGGGTCCGCCTCTGTTTCCGCTTCTCCTCGCGACGAAATCGGCCGGGCAATTGTTAAACATTTTCGGGCATTCAATCTCCAAGAACAAGAGAGATTGAAGCCAAAGGAGAAGGAGTTGAAGCTAAAGGAGCAGGAGGCCGAGATGAAAGTCATGCAAACCGACCCCGGGACGTTGTCGGAGTTTGGACTAATGATCTACGAGCAAAGAATGAGAGAGATCAAGGAGAAATATAATTTACCTAAGTTTTTTTATTAATGTATCTTTTTTTAAATTATTGTCGCTTTTTTTATTTAATTAATGTATTTTTTATTATTCGTGTTTCAATTTAATTAAATAATAAATTAATTACATTTTATTAATTTAATTTTAGAAGATGTATATTTAAAAATGTAAAAAATGAAGGTTTGAAGCCACAGTTTGAAGCCTCGAGGCTTCAAACCCATTTCCAGTGAATTTTGGGTGTAAGTTAAATCTGACGTGGCAGAGAGAGAAAGTTTGAAGCCCCAAGGCTTCAAACGTATTTCTAGTGCCCTTATTTGTATATCAAGGCTTCACGGACAGACACAAGCACGTAATGTTTATCTTTGTTTGCAAAAAATTATGTGTATAAATGGGATACCCCTAGCATTGCCTATTAAATTAAGGCCAATTCCACGCTATATCTAAGGTCCATAGTGCAAGATGATCATCCTCCCTTCGTCGTGTACCTATACCATATATTTAGTTGTATGATGGTTCATGTACATCTGTATAAATACTTGTTTTTGAGTAATTAAATATTCATTTTTTGAGTAAGAGAGTACTTATTTTTTAGCATAACTAAATTTTAGAAAAATGTTTATTAAACTACTTGAAAAAATGAGTATTCAATTGTTCGAAAATAACTATTCCACCTACTCGTAAATAAGTACTCGCTAATTTCAGTCAAAACTTGTAAACAACAACATGCGATTCAAATTGAGACAATGAGTGTAGTTAGTACTTCCTCCGCCCTAAAAAGTTGTTCCCTTTTTTACTTTTAGAAAAATTTAAAGGAAAAAATATTTTTGTGTTAACTTTCCAAAAATATCCTTGATATGATAGATAAAAGTAGGATGTGATTGTAGTTATAAGTAAAAAAATATGATATCATAAGTATATTAAGAATTACAGAGTAATAAGAGTAAAAGCATGTCTTTTATTAAAAATGAGAGAGATTTTGTGGGATAAGTAAAAAAGGTAAACGAGTTTTTTAAACAGATGGAGTATTTTTTTAATTCTATGAACAACATTTAGTTTTCATTTAAAAAAGAAGAAATAAATTTTATATGAGGACGTCCATAAAATTATGTGGCTATTCAGTTTACCAAAGCATCATTCTTACTCGTATTTATTACTCCTATCATTAATTTTTTTATTTTATTTTTCATGTTTCGTCATTTTCCAAATCTGATAATCACTTTAAAAATAAATTACTATACTTTCCTTTCTTAGACTGTTGGGTACTCAAGAAGGAGGAGGGAGAAGGAAGAAGGGAAGGGGGTGTGGGGGCGGGAAGAGAAGAAGGGAAGGAGGGAAGAGAAGTGTGTGGGGCGTGAGCAATGTTCTGAAATTCGGACCATACATTGACCCAAATGAGGGGGTGGCTGGGTCATGGGTTATCCCGCTGAACTGGTAAACTCGGGGACAACGACCGGTCAACATTAATTTAAAAAACTCATATTTTATATTATATTAATAGGTGTTTCTAGTTTTTAATATAATTGTGCATATGATATTTCATACTTTGTTTTTTATCCTATTATTTTTATTATTGTTTAAATTTATTAATGAAAATCTACGAATACTTAAATAATAAAACAATACTCATAGTTTCAAAAATGTACATACTATATAAAGAAAACTCCCTAAATAGAAGTAAAATATATGTCATATCCTCAAAATAGGAGCTTAAACTCCTCTAAATAGAAGTATTTAATTAAGTACTCCGTAATAAAGAAAATCCCATAAGTAGTATTAAATCTATAATTAATCTTATTTCTCTTTGCTCTATCTCCTCACGGCCACCGTACCCCACCATGCCTCCTCTTCCGATCCCTCTCTCTCATTTTTGGCCACCACCCTCACTATTTTGAAGCGTTGCCTCCGTCAAATCACCGCCGCCCCACTCTTTGCAGTGCTGCCGCACTAGTTTCTCCCTTTGCAGATCTGTCACGAAGTATCCCATGTAGATCCGCCGCGGAGTGCCGCCTCTATCTCGCACCGCCTATATCCATCAGAGCTGAGATTGCATCTAGTCATGATGACTATGATTTTGTTTTTTAATTAGCTTCCAAATGTTCTATAATTGAGACTGCATCGTAGAAGTAAGAAATACTTTCAACTTATTGCATTCATCCTTTTTTCTCAGAAAAATTGCATCTTTATTAGGCATTGATTTTGGTTTGGTTTTTTCTTTTCTTTTTTGTATTTGATTTTGTTTTTCTTTTAACTTTTTTGTTTAATTGTTTTTCTAAAACTTGTTTTTAAATTTTGCTCCCAATTTAAGTAAAATTTGGTGATAGTGATAAGAAACTTGACATTGTATGTTGGCAATCTTGACATTTCACTTTCTTTTTGACATTTTATATTGAAATGTTTTGGCATTACGCAATAACATGTTTGGTATTATGCAATGACATGTTTGTCAGTATGCATTATCGTCTTTGACATTGTGGGTTTGGTTTGTTGGAATGCATGAGTTCAATCCTTTCTGTGTTGTTAAGTGTTGACTCACAGGTTTGATAATTGACAAACATAATTTATTCAAGTCAAGATCAAAGTGCTACATCGACAAATACGAAGACTTGAAGTTCCATTCCTTGAAGTATTCGAGAAGGTGCACAGGATTTTATTATAGTCCAAGACACGTTCGGAGCACCTAACAGAGGATTCGGAGGAGTAGAAGATTTCCAAAGACTTTTTATTTATTTGAGTCTTAGGAATTATTGTAAGGATGACAAAACTAATCTTCTCTCCAAAAATAATTTTATGAGAGTTAAAATAAAAATTATATTTATTTTTGGAGTCAGTTGAAAAATCTTTTAACTATTTAAAATACTTTTATTGAGTCACTTTCAAAAGGAGTGTCAAAAATTTATCAAAATATTTATTTTGATATTAGAAAATATTTTTGGAAAGCAAAAATATTTTATTCAAATATTTTCGTGTTCATCGTTGGACACACAAAATAATTTTGAGACTCAATTTCTACACTCCAAATATCTTTCATTTATTCAAAATTAATTTTGAATAATGTTTGAGATGACGGGGAGCCTTACCCCTGTAATTTTTGTTGGAAACAAACCTATAAGCTCCATTTTTGTACTTCACCTCGCCCACATGCTTGCGTTCTTCACGTTTGGACATTATTGACAGGATAATCAATTACCCCCATTTGAGTTAATCGATTAGCATGTCCAGAAGGAACTAATCGATTAACACCTTTGGCTTTAATCGATTATCACTTTTCCGCGCAGAAGGAATTTTAATTTGCTTAGGCAAATTTAATCAATTTTTTTCAGCTGCATTAATCGATTAAGATGATGCACTAATCGATTTTGACGATGCATTAGTCGATTATTATGCTACATTTTTTTACACAACTTCTTTTCTTGGACCAACGGATATATTTCTTCACCTCCTATTTAAACACCCTTCCTTGGTCATTTTTGATAACAAGAAACACTTCAATACTCCCCATTCTTGAGGTGTTAATCCTCCATCATTCTTTCCTCAAATTTAAATTATTTTGAGAGAAAATTATATTTGTTTTCAAGAGAGATTTCTGGTCATCCATTAGAGCTAAACATTTTCTCATTCCTACTCTTTTGAGAGCTATTGTTGAGAGGTTAAAAGAAGAGTGTTCTTCTTGGTGTACAAGACTTATGTGACTTAAGTCTTGGGTGTAAAAGTCGTGTAGAGATCTACAAGCGATTGTGTCGAGGCTTGTGGGATTCAAGTTCTCGAGTTAGGGTTGTAAACGGTTTGTTATGTTAGAGTAATAGACCAACGCTAGAGGGGGGGGGGGGGTGAATAGCGTTTGATCGTAGAAATCGCAGGAATAAAAAAATTAAGAACGTGAAAAGTAAAGAGCGTAGAAAGCGTAAAGGGAACACACCAAGATTTATACTGGTTCACCACAACGTGTGGCTAGTCCAGTCTCCCGAGAGAATCTCTCGAGCTACACTACTTCCGTTAAGCTTACGGGTGCTTAACAAACCGTTACAACCTGAGAACTCGAGTCCCACGAGCCTCAACAACGCTTGCTCGGAGATACCGCACTCCAAGACTTCAACTCGAAGGAAAATACCTTTCCTTCGTACAACCAAGGGAAACAAGCTTCCCTTAACGTGTATACAACACTAAGACACTCAAGAACAAGACTCTCCTTAAGAGTGGATATTGAGTAGAATATATACGCTCAAGAACAACTCAAACTTCACACAAATTGGCTCTAGAAAGCTATGGAAAATAATGTGGTTTGGATGCAATGATAATATGAATATTGTGAAGTGAATTTATAAGAAAAGAAGACCCAAACCCCCTTTTTATAGTGCCAAAATAGGCTCCAATGGACCAATACATTAAAGGGGTGATTGGCTTGATTTATGGGATTGAATAAATTTGGGATCTGCAGGATATTTGCTTCCCATCGATGTTTGGAACTTACCCATCGCTGGTAAGCCAATTTTCCTTCAATTTTGAAGCCAACGGTCACCTACCCATCGATGGGTAGATGCTTCCCATCGCTGGGTGGGAGGTTGACTTTCAAACAAGGAAAGAATCAGCCTTAAATGACTCACAACAGTCATGCCTTCCCATGGCTGGGCAATATCCTCCCATCGCTGGGAAGTCACTTACCCATGGATGGGTAATATCTCCCATCGCTGGGTAAGGGCATTCTGCCTTGTGATAATGTTGGACCAAGGCTTGAACAGCGATGGGTAGAGCTTCCCATCGCTATTTGGCATGGTTCTAGAATTCAATTGGGCTGAAGGCTGCTTACCCTTCGCTGGGTAATATATCCCATCGCTGGGTGGCATGATTCTGGAATCCCTGAATCACTTACCCATGGCTGGGTGATATCTACCATCGCTGGGTAGATGGCTAGCCCAGAACCATGGCCTAGCTGACCGGCGCTGAAACCCGACCGAAAAATGCAAAGTTCTCCAAAGTAAAAACTAAGTATATAAAACACTTATTTAATGTATTGTGATGTCAAAACAAACTTTGTAAGTTGAAAACCACGTTGTTAAGGTAAAAACCACGGTTGACCAAGTCCATACCGTACACGGGTGGTTTTTACCAAAAGACAAAACCGAAAGGTGATTTTCATGATGTTTTGATTGGATAACCATTTAAATGCATTCAAAAACAATTCCCACACAAAAAACTTGAAAACCACTTCATTTAAGTAAAAACCACGACTAGCCAAGTTTATGCCGTTTCACATGGTTTTTATCAAACGACAAAAAACGAAAGGTGGTTTTTGAAGTGTTTTTGATGAAAAACTATTTAAATGTTCCTAGAAGTAAAAAACAATCATAAAAAGTTGAAAATCACTTGGTTGGTTCGGACGCCAAAACCAACGCCAATAACCGAATGCCGAACGCCGGTTTCCGAAAGCCGAACCCCGGATGGCTTGGTTTTTTTTGGCTTGGTTTTTGGTTTAGGCGAACACCATGTGTTTTTAATATGTTTAAGCATGTTTGAAAATAATTTTGATGATATGTAAAATGCAATAAAAAATGTTTTAGCCTAAAGAGCCAAAGTGCAAAGCTTGGGTTGGTCTTGATCACATGATGACCGACTCAATGACGCTAAAGACTACGGTCTTCGTTCTTGGTCTCTTTCAGCTCTTGTTCTCTTGCTTTCTTCTTATGTTCATTTCTCGCCTTGTATATTCACTACGTCAAAAACAGATGCTGACAACGGTTCTTTTTAGTAGTCTAACTGTGCTAGTTTCAGTAGTCTTCCGAGCAACTGTCTGATATATTTATAGACTACTGTTTAAAACAATTGTGTAATACAGTTGACGACACCTGTTTTGTGATGTTTCAGAGTACATGTCTTTGAAGTTGTCCTCGTAAGAGTAAGACATCTGTTTTCTAAAGTTAAAGACAACTGTGATATTTTGTTGTGTATCTATAATGAATATTACTGTTATTTTCGACTTCAGACTCCTATTGCATGGTGTTGTCGTTCAACAATATAGACATCCAATTTCAAAAGTAGTTGAAAGATATATCAGACTGCTGCTTGGAAGACTACTAAAGAAAAATAGCATCAGACAACTATTATCTTGTGTTATATTTCTAAAATGTAGACTACTACTTTAGTTGTATTTTAAACAACCGTTTCTTTCACATCTATAGTGCTCAATAACACTACATTTTTTTGTAGTTGTCATTGAAATATTCGAACTACTTTTTTACATAGTAGTCAGATTGTAAATCAGACTACTGCTCCGAAGACAACTAAGTATGTTTGCATAAGACAACTGCTATTCTGTGTTGTATTTGTACAATGTAAACAACTATATTTGTTGTATTTTACACAACTGTTTATTTCTATTGTCTAACGTTTATTAACAGTTCAGGTTTGTTTAGTTGTCCTTTAAAGATTTAGAAAACTGTCTTAATACATTGTAAAGCTGTTTGAAAGACTACTACATTTTAATTTACATTTATATTTAATAAATAAAATTTATTTCAATTCCAAAATATTGATCATGAAACAAAAATAAATTCTAAAATGTAGAATATATTCAATAATATCTAAATACATACAATCCAAGTCTAAATAACATCTAATAATTTAACATTTACATAATTAAAATCACTCTAATTGTCCATTCAGCATGCCTAATTTAGTTATTTATCCCCTCAATAACATTTTTGAATACATCTCTTGTTGTAGCAACATTTTCTTGTAAAGCATCCACTTTAATCCTCAATCTGCATATCATTAAATAATTAAAATGAATGTTTGTTGATAACAAGAAAGAGTTCTTAACAAAAATACTTGAAACTTTTTGGAGTTATTAGCTAGCTTAATACCTCCAAAGTAGTTCATATGCATCTATTTAACAAATGAAGTCCATAATTCAGCTTAGAAATCAAGCAAAGCTGCAGATTTTCTAAACAAAAAATAATTCAATGTAGATGAATAAAGTAATTGCGGCACTAGTGATAATTTATGCACAAGATGACAGATGAAGATGACAAAGTTACTTTTTGAGATTTTAAAAGTCATAAGCATGTTTATATGTAAAAAAAAAATATGTGTGCATGGAATCTTTGTCAACAACAACAAATTAAACCTAAGAGAGATGGTTTGCGTTAGACTCTTGATGCATTTACTTACCAAAACTTCATAGTTCATAGAGAAATAGATGCAAAGGAATTTTAATTTGCCATTTTGATCTAGTAAATAATTTACCCAAAGCTTAAACATTGTCAAAATGGATTTTTTAGTTTCATTAGCTACACTAAACTTTCATAGAATATTTGTGTTGATTAAAATTTCCAAGTCTCAAAAATTGGAGAAAAAGAAGCTAGAAAGGGGAGGGGTGTAATGTAGGCTACCTCCAGGCCGAAGCAAACAATTCAGCTCGAGAAGAAGTTTCCCGCCTAGGCAACACAAATAAAACTTCAAGCATCTGAGTTCAATGATAATGGAGTAATGCTTCAAAAAGTTCATAAAATGGAGACAATGGTAAACATTTACCACCAAAGACAATGTGAACACAGCTTATTTTGCGTAAAGTATAACATTAACTTAAAATGGAAACCACACACGCATGCACACAAAATATATGGCGTGAAAATGAATTTTGAATACCTTCAATGTGCCATGGAACCCTGCACCGAGCACAATGAACTGCAATAGTAATGCAACCATTCAGGTAAGCATCATACTGTTGGAAGATGGAGGGAGTGATATTAAGAGCTTAGCAATTAATTCTCTTCTTTACAAAAACAAAATATTTTTGCTCACCCCATGATCCTAATCTGCAGTCTGACTTTAAGATGTAAAAAAATTGAAACTAAAGAAGGAAAAAAAGATCATCCATAATACTCCATAACAAATAAGTGTCATCCAACCAGTCATAAAGGAAGCTGGAATTGGAAATGCATCCATTAGACTCATTACGAAATGTGCCTAAAATGTCACAGCATTTTGCTTCAATTGCTTTCAAAAGATTTTGAATCTATCCCAACCATTCAATTCATCTAGCCAGACCTACCCTTCGATTGCACTTTACCACTCTATTTTTCCGATAAACTCAGAGTTCAGATCAAACTTAATATCAAAATGCAAACACCAAAACCCTTCCCAATCTCAGTTCAAGCAACCTGCTCATTTGCTAAGCCACATTAAGAATTTCACAATAACCCAAAATTTTGTTCCTCACATGGCATAGAATGAATGATCATGATTCTTAGGCGATAACCTGCAGTATAAAATCAATATAAAGAAGTGCACCACGCTTAAATTGATTTCCGCCACCGGGGAATGTCAGATATTCACCAATAACTTTAACCCAATTTTGACTTCTTTTAAACTTTGCAAGCTCGGTATGAGAAACATTACGATACCATATCTGCAGGATGAAAATATCCAGACATCAATCATACGTAAAAATGTAATCAAGACTAAATGAAAAATAAAACTCTTTTCTTAGCATGATAGTAGACTATCTTTTCTCGTAGGCCACTTAATTGGGGGTTGATATCCTTTCGGATGCGGAACAAGGCAAGTGGGACAATCAACCGGACAGTGTCTCTCTCTGTGTTCATAATGCTTGGTACTTTTAAGGTTCTTGATTGCTTCCAAGTTAATATAAGTAACACCAAGGTTATTATATATGGTTTCTAGATTCTAATCAAGTTGTGAATTCAAACTATACGATTTCAGATATCAAGTCCACCCATATATACTCCCTCACCAAGGAACAGGTTTCACAAAAACGCAATCAATATGCTCGGCAAAAGTATTTCAAAACCAGGTCCAACTTATTCCTCCAAAGTAATACATCAAATAGAGGCGGGTGAAATGTTAATCTTACCATAATCAGCTCCAAAAAACAGCAGTGAAAACCACCCCACACGATGCCCAATGCCAGAGTCAAACTTCCATTACAAAATCAGCCCAAACAGCAGCCCCAACACTGCCATTTCAACTCCATTTCAAGCCCGAATGCACAGCAAAAATAGCCACTGCAGCAGCACGGGTTGACCTCCAAAACAAGTATCATTCAAACATCAAAATTATGGAGGAAATCTCCACAAGAAAGTAAAAGGCTCAGCAAAATACAGTTCCAAAAATACAGTTAAAAGATTCCAAAATAAATTTTGCAGCTCCACAACTCCAGCAACCATAAATTCAAAGCAAAAGCAACCATAAATTCAAAGCAAAAGTAAAGAGTTTGTTTAATTAACATTTGAATAGCAGCGTCAAGAGCACCTTTAAGAACGACCATAATCCACAAAAAATTTTGCAAAAACCAAAAAGGAACGTGGTTCAAAACATATGGCAAAATCTCGCTGTGTACAGTAGCTTGTTTCCCAAAACTCCTCAAATCGCAGGTAATTCAAATGGAATTGAAATCCAAGTAAATACCTTGGATTATGAAGCCATTTCGCTCAGAATCCTAGAAGGATGTTCTTCAATTTTGCTTCAGACAACAAGAATCTACGATTGAGTTCGCATATGAACAGTAACGGTGCAGCGTTGACCTTCGTTCCTTCCAACATCAAATCCAAAAGAAGCAAAAACAACCTAAAAACGGAATCACCCGCTGTAGGCGAACCTTGAATTCCAAAAATCTGAGCAGAAGATCTCAATTTCATGGAGTAATCGCAGATAGCAGCTTCGAGGTATTGTTCATCTCGCGGATCGGAGAAACCCCCGCATCCATTTTTTCTCATCTACTTCTGGAACACACTACAAATGGAGTGGTGCCGCATATTGGGATCTCCTTCCTTATCTGAGTTAGCGGCTCAATGAGTTTGTGGTGTAGGTTGTGTGGACTTACAATTTTTAACCTATTTTATCTCTCCGCCAAATTTTTTTCCCTCTCCTTTGCCAAATTTTTTCCCCTCTCCATTTTTTGTCAAAATTTTTATCATCTCTATGTTTTTTTCATCCCATCTACCTTGCTAAGTTTCACTTCTTTAGATTTTATCATTAATTAATACTCCCTTCGTCCCATTATGATGTTCTTATTTTGATTTTTGGTAGTTTTTAAGGAGAGTTGAAAAAGGTGAAAGTTTACCATAATACCCTTAATAAAAAATGGGAAAGTGTATTAAATAAAGTGGGTGAGGTGTAATAAATAAAGTAAGTAGGGGTAGTTGTGATATTTTAATTGTTAAAAAATGAAATGAGAAGATCTATTATGGACAAAGAAAAAGAGCTATTGGGAAGATCTATGGGGGACGGAGGGAGTATAACTTTTTACTCTGTATTTTTTACTTCAAAAAAATTAGTAACTTTTTGAAATGATATCACTCAAAATAGAAGTAAAAAAAGAGAGAATGTACTAAAATAGAATATTAATGTTTTTACTCTCAAAATAAAAGTTTTTATTGTGACATTTTATATTGACGTTATAGAGTATTTTTTGGTATTATGTGTTGAGATTATTGGAATTGTAACTTCGGTTATGTAAATAAAAATATATAACTCCGATTTTGACTAGTATCTGATAACGGTTTTTAAAATGCATGTACTACTTTTGACCGTATAAGATCTTACCGATACTGATAACTAAACTTGTCAATTACATAGATCAAATTTTTTTAATACTCATATTTATGGCCGTATAAGATCTTACTGGTACTGATCTGATAACAGAACAAAGTAATTGCACAAATCCAATTCTTTGAAATACTCATACTTTTGACCATATAAGATCTTATAACTATTGATAATTGTACTTGTTACTCACATTGGTCTAATTCCTCAAGATACACATATTTTTAACCATATAAGATCTTACTGATACTGATTACTAAACTGCTTAATTACACGGATCGAATTCTTCTAGATACTCATATTTTTTTTGCTATACAAGGTAATTACGCAGATCCAATTCTTCTAAATACTCATATTTTGTACCGTATAAGATCTTCCAAGTATTGATAACTAAACTTGTTACTCACACTAATCCAATTCCTAAGGATACTCATACTTTTGTCCGTATAAAATCTTACCGGTACTAATAACTGAACCGGTTACTTGCACAGATCCAATTTTTCTAAATACGCATATTTTTCGCCATATAAGATCTTACTAGTACTGATAACAGAATAAGGTAATTGCACAGATCCAATTCTTTTAAATACTCATATTTTTGGCCATATAGATCAAATCAAATTAGATCAGATCTGATCTAATCTATACAAACATCAGATCAGATCAAATTAGATCGAATTAGACCAAAATAGATCAAATCAAATTCAAATCTAGTAAGATCATATCAAATATTAAAAAACAATTTAATTGTATAGATCGTGTCATATTTGTCTGATCAAATCCTTAAATGCATCATATCGGATCTAATTAGATTGAATTAGACCAAAATAGATCAGATCAAATCAAATTCAAATCTATTAAGATCAGATCAAATCTTCAAAAAAAACAAGTTAATTATATAGGTCGTGTCCTGTTTACTTGATCTAATCTATAAATACACCAAATCATATCAAATTAGATTGAATTAGACCAAAACAGATCAAATCAAATTCAATTCTAGTAAGATCATATCAAATATTTAAAAAAATCATATCGGATCTAATTAGATTGAATCAGGCCAAAATAGATCTAATCAGATCAAATCAAGTTCAAAATCTATTAAGATCAGATCAAATCTCATAAAACAACTTAATTATATAGGTCGTGTCATATTTTCCTGATCTAATCATTAAATGCATCATATCAGATCTAATTAGATTGAATCAGACCAAAATAGAGCAAATCAAATCAAATTCAAATATATTAAGATCAGATCAAATCTTCAAAAAAAAGTTAATTATATAAGTCGTGTCATGTTTGCGTGATATAATCTATAAATGCATCAGATCAGATCAAATTAGATCGAATTAGACAAAAACAGATCAAATCAAATCAAATTCAAAAATCAATTTACTTGTCAAGGTTGTTTCTTATTTGCCAGATATAATCTTTAAATGCATGAGATATGAATTTAGTTAATATTATTAAAATTTACCTCAAAATCTCTACAATTTTAATTTCCCTCTATCTAAATTCATTTTCCCTCCCCTAAATTTCATCTTCTCTCTTCCTAAATTCATTTTCCCTCCCCTAAATTTCATTCTCCCTCTTCCTAATTTTTCTTTTCCCTCCTCTAAAAAACCTATCTCTCGTCGAAGAAAAAAGTTCGCCACTTCGCCGCACCTTCATGCCTGGAGCCAGAGCCGTCGATCCTCGTCGCTCCTATCTTCTTCGTCGCCATTAAGATACCTCGACACCGGGCAGTGGTCTTCCGATCCCCATAGAGTACCACGATTTCGGTCCATCCCACTTATCCATGGCGCATACGCTTGCCTCAAACACCGTGTGAAGCCAACATCACAACCCGAATCTCTACTGCCTCTAATTTACAGGTTTTACTTTATCTTGAAAATACTCTAATGGTTAAATTATGTGAATTTCTTTTCATATCTCTTGAAAATACTCTAAATTCTTCAATTATATGAATGAAAATATTCTAATTCTTCAATTATGAGGATTTATTTGCTTAATTTTTGTTACCTCAATCTTTCTATGAACTTTTTTTTGTGAGGGATAAATGGAAGTTTTTAAATGGAATTTTGTTGTTGTAAAAAACGGTGGGCATAGTCAATTACCAAGACATTTACATGTCTTAGCTTGGGTTGGTTTACTTTAGCTAGTCTAAATTGGGTTGTCCATTGTCGATTACCCATTCTCCACTGATTTGAGCTCGTTCAATCAGATTTTTGGATATTTGGATTCTCCTTAAGCAGGCAAATCCATACCAGACTTCATCTTGCAGAATTTGGAAGAGAATTTTGAAGAATCGAAGGTCAATGCCGTGTCTCCCATTGTTCATTCGCGATTTTGTCATTCTGATTCACATTGATCCAGACATTTTTGATGGCTATACTTCCGAGATTCTAAGCGATTTGAGGGACTCTTTCAAGGTATGTTGATGGATTCCAAATCCATTTGGATTTTGTTACGATTTGGGCTGCGATTTTACTGTTTCGACATAGCGCTGGATGATGAATTGCACCAGGTCTTTGAATACCTTTTGTCTAAGTTTTGTGTGGTTCTTAATCGTGCTTTGAAGGCCTTCTTTTTGTTTTTGTGGATGTTTGTGATGATACGTTTTCCATGTCCATTTTGTGCCTCTGGTGTTTTAATGAAGCTGTAACACTGAAACTGAAGCTGTTTGGGTAGTAGTTTTTGAGTGACTGAGTTGAACTCTGGGGGGGGGGGGGGTTTGAGCGGGTTTGGAGTGCTTGACTTGTTTTGGTTTGGGATGGGTTTTGAGTGTGTGTTCGAAAGCCATAGTCTGGACAGGCGCATTAAGATAGGACTCAGTGCATAGTTTACAGTGTAGCATTGCAGTCCAGTTTTCAGTTTTGTATGCATTAACTGTTGAAAGCACAATTTCTATTAATAAATCTTTTTTGGGAACTATGTTTATGCTCATAGTTCATATTAACTTTTTTCTTGCTTCACAGATTACAAATTGCAATTTATGGCTATGGTTTTGGTATATGTACTTGGCCTGTACTTTTGATGATCTGCCGTTGGAGTTGCTTGCCCTTTATGAAGCTCTTCAAGCACTGGTTTTAAAGCAACTAAGAGAATCTTACTATCACAAAGACACCATCATGAGGTATGTGGTTAGTTGCATTTATGTGGTCTTTGATATGTGTACCTGGCCTGTACTTTTGATATAGTTGCAAATCACAAACCAAAACATAAGCTGGCCTGGTCTGTAGTTGCACCAAAACAACTGTGATTTGCTTTGATTTAGTTGCATATATGTGGTCTTTGGCAGGCCAGGTACATATATAAATCAACTCCAACTTTTGTTTTGAACCACTAATATGTTACCATATGTTTTGGTTATAGTTCTTTATTTTGGCTAAGACTTTTTCTTTGAAGAATGTATATAAGAGGCATCGACCTAATTTCTTTCAGTTACAGCACCTCAAACACGAGGAGTTTGTTGTCTCGAACTTGGATTGTGATTTGCTTTGATGTCAAGAGAGGGGAAAATGGACTCTCGAGCCTTACATGCTCTTTGGAGGAGGTATAAACCGGCTAATAATGGGGCGTTAACCACAACAACTAGTGGCCAAACCCCCAAAAGAGCTAGGAGAAGACAGTTGAGGGTGGTCAAACTGGAGCTACTGCCATGCCACTAGCAACAGGTAATAAACAAAAGAAGAAAAAGAAGGCTTTGAAAGGTGATGAATCTGTTGTGGATGGTTATGGTGATCCTGCCATGCCAAAGCCAGGAGGCCAAGCAACCAGCAGTGTAAGGACTAAGAGGGGTAATGATGTTGTTCTCTCTTCCACAAAGGCAAAGGGTCAAGCTTAACTCATTAGGGAGAGTAAAACCATGGCTAAAAACCAAGCTCTTTGTAATTGGCACTCTTACCTTGAAGATTTGGTCTTTATTCTTTAATTTGAGTAATTTTAGAATATGGAGTTTCATTCTTTGTATTTTGTTTATTTTCTACTTCGGATTGAAGAAATTCAATGTACTCTTAATTTTGTTTTTAATAAATTTTGTGTACTCTTATTTGCATCTTGCCATCTTCTCATTGTTTTTTGGTTTTATGATGTGAGATGAATTTATTATATGGGTTCCCAATTTTCTTTGTGTGTAGCGGAAAAGAGGATTTTTATACTCGTTGTCTCCTTTATTTTTACATTTATAAAATAGTAAAATAGTATCAACGGTTATTTGATTGTTGTATAAATTTGGCCCGAAAGTATAAATGTAAAGTTAGAGAGCGTAAACATTTTCATTGTAAAAAAGATTACTGTTTCTCCGAACTTTTAAAATAGTTTTAGGCTTAAAAGCTAGACTACTATTTAAAACGAGTATTCTTAACTTTTAAAATAGTTCTAGGCTTAATATGCACAATTCTCTTAAAAACAATTTTCTTTACTTATTATAGATAACCGTGAAAAAAATAGTGTGAGACACACCACTTGCAATACATTACTATTTCTTATAAGTTTAAAAATAGTTATACACTAGGAAACTAGACTTCTATTAGGAAATAGTAGTCTTAACTAATTATTGACAACTGTGGCAATAAAAACTGTATTTTTTTACGAAACCGACTACTAATAATAGATGACCGTTTCTCACAACTTCAAAAACAGTTCTACCCATAATTCATAGACTATTGTTACAAAAGAGTCTTCTATTCCTATTATAAAAAACTGTGGGAAAAAAACCATATGAAACAGACAACTAACAATAGATAACTGTTTCTAATAAGTTTAAAAATAGTTCTAGAATAAAAACCCAGACTATTGTTTAAATAGAGTTTTTTGACAACTGTTGTAAGAAAAACTGTATTTTGAACTGAGACAGACAACTAATAATACATTACCGTTTCTCGAAACTTTAAAAATAGTTTTAAAGCATAGCAACTAGACTACCGTTTTATTGCCAAGAAAAACTTACAGTAGTCTGTTTTTTTCCAACTACTGTTTTTGCATAAACAGTAGTTAATCAACAGTCGTCTGATGCTGTTTTTGGCGTAGTGATTCAACAACGTGTCTCGCTCACGGTGGTTTGGCATTATCAAACCCTATCATAAAAATGAACACGGCTTTAGTACGAAAAACGTGACGAACCCGTGTTTCAACATGTTAAGCACCCGTAAGCTTAACAGAAGTAGTGGTAGCTTCGAGAGAGTCTCTCGGGGAACTAGACTAGCCACAAGGTGGTGAACCAGTATACATCAGTGTGTTCTTTGTCTTCTCTCTTTTATTTCCACTGCACTTGCGTTTATATTACTAATCCTACAAAAATCGATAATCATTCTCAACAACTCTATTCACCCCCCCTCTAGAGTTGGGGAGAAAGACCAAAGTAGGACTAAAACATTGAAAATATACCAAAATAGGACTTTCATGTTTTTATTCCCGAAATAGAACTTACATTACCAAACATGGTCATATACATTACCAAGAAAGTATAGTAATTTGCACATGTACACTACCACATTACCACAATGCAAAGTCACATTACCACAATGCAAAGTCCTATTCCGGGAACAAAAACATGAAAGTCTTATTTTGGTACTTTTCTCTATGTTTTAGTCCTATTTAGGATGATTTCTACTAGAGTTGCACGCCTTGTCTAACATGGTTGACATTGTATTGAAAATTCTTTTCCTTTTGCAATGACACTAGTGCACTTTGGTGGCGACAATGACAGTTCTGATCCCAACATTGGTAGTAAATTGCGACATTAACAACAACATATGAGGGCGATGGAGGCGGCATCCACAACAAATGGGGATGAGAGCGGCAGATTGTGGTGGGGATGAAGGCGAATTGGCCGACCGTGGCAGTGTTAGTGGCAGCAACAATGTAGGCACCAGGAGATTGTGGCGATGGAGTGGCGGCGACGATATTAGCGGCGTTGGCGGCAGGGGTGGTGACAGTGACATGTGCGGCAGAGCCTGTTGCTAATTTAGGATTTTTTAATTTATAAAATATATTTAATTTCATATTTGTAATAGGAATATAACTTCTATTTTGGTACATGGTTAATGTTTTACTTGTATTTTGCTCCTTAATTTTAAGCCATTAGATTAATTAAAAGTTAATTTCTCCTATTTAGAGGAGTTTATGTTTCAACTTTTATTTTAGAGATATGTCATATGTTTTACTACTACTTTGTTTCTTCTCCCTACTATATAATGTAGGGGTGGGCCAACGAGTCAAGAAACCAAGGGTCATAACCGAACTGGCCTGGCAGGTTCGGTCTAGGTTAGGGGCGGGTCCTCTTTTCAAATATTTATAATGAGCCGGGTCGGTCCGGTTCTTATAGGTTTTAGGGTCAGTCCGGTTCTCTATTTTGAAATTGTCTAGGACCTGGATTGGACCGTTTTTTAATACTCCGTATTATTATTAGTAAGAGAAAAGTGCATTGTTTACCCTCGTATCCTTTAGAAATTGCATGATTTACCCCTGAACATTAAAAAGTGCACCGTTTACCTTCGAACTCTTCAAAAATTGCATGATTTACCTCTGAACACTAAAAAAATGCACCAAATACCCTTGAACAAATTAAATCGTTGCATCGTTGGTCCTAAACTGATAGATAGGGAGTGCGTTGCTTCCACGCACAAGAATTGCGAGTATGATTCATCTGACCCTTGTGAATTCTCCAAACTATCCTTCCCCAAAAGTGTCGTCTTTATTTAAATGTTCAGGAGTAAATAGTACAATTTTCGAAGAGTTCAGGGGTATTTGGTGCAATTTTTATTATTTAGGGATAAACCATGCAATTTTTGAAGAATTCAGGGGTATTTGGTGTACTTTTTAATGTTTGGGGTAAACCGTGCAATTTTCAAATAATTCGGTGTAAACGATGCAATTTTCTCTTATTAGTAATTACACCGGGAAACGCTCTAACGAGTTATGCCCTCACCCTCTTTGTCTTTGTTCTCTCTTCATTTAAGTCCGTGCAGCCGCCTCATTAGTCATAGACTCATAGGAGCACCTGTTCGTGTAAGTGCCACAGGAACAGCACCAGGGACCTCTTCACGTTGAAATTGCGCAAATGAGGAGAGAGGGACATGCACCAACACATGAGAGTCATCAACGGCGCCTTCTAATTTAAGCCCAGGCACATTGTTCATATCAAACTGAGTAAAGGCTTGGATAGGAACCTTTACTTGCATGAAATCAGAGTGTGCAATTGGGGAGCTCATTGGGGCATATTGTCGAACAGTGGCGGGCAGGAAGAAATCAATGCATTGGGATGATTTGCCCCATAACCAACGTTCAATGGAGGTATGGCATGGAGAAATAAGGGGGCTTGAATGAACCCCTAAAACAGCAGGAAGTGATGCCAAAACCATAGAGGGAGAGGGGTGAACCTGGGCAGCCATAGCTGTTGAAGAAGACGACCCAAAATTCAAGGGATTTGGACCAGAGCTCAAGTTTGCCATGGGTGGGTGCTGGGGCTAGCTGCGCAATGACCTGAGGAATGCAGTGGGAGTGGTCCGAGACACTACTCAAGCCTTGAGACACCAAAACCGAAGTGAATCCGTCAAAAGAACCCGACCCAGTTTCAACCCGTCAAGAAGGAGGAGTGCCATCGTTCCTTGTAGACGCCGGAAAAAATGGTGTGGCAGCAACTTGCTGGGAGGTTGCGATCTGGTGGTTCCCAGCGTCAAAGATGGTTGTGTCTGGTATCAAACTGACCGGCAGAAGATCAGGAGGTCGGGGGTGAGGGTCCGGTAGCAGTTGGCCGTCCATATTGGCCGGAAAAAAAAGATCGCTGAAGGGAGCTTTGTGTCGCCGATTTTCTCCAGAGCCGAGACGCGGGTTACTTTTCTATTTTTAAATTTGTAATTAAAAGGAGATAGAGGAGTTGAATGTGGGCGTATAAGACCATCCACGGCAACATCTCATTAGATGCCCAAGTGTGGGCTCCACTATAAAATGTTATTCTAGCACCTCTCTCAACATCTTATTCTTTCAATGGTAGCATCTCATTTGGATGCCTAAATATCTATTCAATTAATATAGTAGGTCCACTAATATATATATATATATATATATATATATTATTTTTGTTAATTATAAGTATTTAGTTATATAATAAATTACGGAGTATTAATTATACAAAACTTGAAAATATTACAGTATATTGAAAAAAATTATTCTTTATATTTTAAAACTAGTTTGTTCTCCACCAATATTAAAAAAAAATCTAAAAACGACCCATTTGGATGTAAATCCATTTTTTAAGAAAAAATTCTAATTTGCAGCTATTTGTAAAAAAACATTTACTTAAAATATTTATTGGAATTACAAAAAAAGTCATTGGAAAAGTATTTAAAAAGAGAGCTATTTAAGAAAATTGTCAAAAAAAGAATTGAATATTTATATGACACATGGCACATAATCATTGGACCACAAAACTAAAAAAATAAATGCATGGAAACCCTTCCCCCTCAAGCACCGATGCTATGTGAAGCATCCCCCTCTCTTTTTCTTCCTTGGACATCTATAATGAGCACCTATCTACAACAATAGCATCTAACAACATCTCACTCTATCTCCTCCTAGCATCTCTTGTAGGCATCCCATTGGAGATGGTCTAACAGCCAGCAGAATCTCTTGGAAATGGAAACAGAGTTGAGGGAATATTCAGAACACATAAAGTAAATGAGTAGATCACGTTCCAAGAAAATACTCCCTCCGTCTCACTCTCTTTGTCCATTTACCTTTTGGCACACCATCCAATGTACTTCTTTAATCCATTTTATCTTGTAATTTGTATATTAAAAAATTATAGAAATTATATATTAATAATCTATATGTTAAGACAAATTAAACAAGATCACACATGACTATTTTTAGGCTTACACATTGAGAGAATTTGATGAGTAAAAGTGTTTAGATGAACAGTTCCAAAAGTCAAAAGTGGACAAAGAGAGTGAGACGGATGTAGTATAAGCCAAGCTAATTTATGTGAGTGAAGTGGACAGAGGATAAAAGTAACAAGGAACTACAAGCTAGTAGTGTTCGGTACTAGTCTCTCACTCCACAAATCTTCTTCCAATTTACTTTTATTTCATCAATGTTTTTAAACTTTTCACTATATATAAATTTAATATCCATATATTTACTCTGAAAAGTAATTTTGAAATATGACATTTTTCTACTCCATAATATATATATATATATATATATATATATATATATATTTGAATTAATATATATATATATATATATATATATATATTTGAAAAGAGATATTTTATTAAAATACAAAATAAAGAAGAGTACAAAGAAGGGAGGACTAGGCCAATGTCCCTCTAAAATTGCATGAAATGAAAAGACGATTGGAAAATAAAAGGGAAGTGAATGGAATCAGCATGTGAAAGATCATTCCTAGATTATAAAACCCAGGTGTTGATCGAGAGAGAGATTTCTAGGCATTATTTTCTTTGGTCTTTTCCCATCAGTGCCAATTGGACCAACGGGACCAACATACCAAAAGGGTCCAGAGTAACTTTTGGTAGTAACTATTTTCTCCATAGTAGTAGATTTGCGACTGGGCCAGTATCTCGTGATCTCGCTCACAGTCCCGACTTTGAGATTAGGATCATAGCCTCTTGTTTTAATGGTCCTTGGCATAGCTTGCTTCTTTTTACCTCTTCTATTCTGGACTTCTTAGAAGTCATGCGCTGTGAGGTTTTCATCATTGTGGTTTGACGTTTGTCCTTCCTCCATGTAAGACCTAATTTCATAATGTTGCCCTTCATGCTCAAAAGAGTGGAGGATCGGTCCAATGTTGACAGGGTTAACATCTGAATTGTTTGGTGTTGTGTTTTCCTTTGTTGTATCTTCAGCCATCAGAGTAAGAGTCCCTGTTGTGTCATCCTTCTCCATCTCGGTTGGAGTGTGTACAACTGCCTCCCATTCCCTGTTGTGTCATCTTTCTCCATCTCGGTTGGAGTGTGTACAACCGCCTCCACATTTGGATTGTGTACATCCTCATCCATGTTCTGTCTTGTGAGTACCAGAAGTTCATCCAGGTTGATTGTATTTTCTACATAGTTAGCATTTTGTGCAGTCTTACCATCCATGCTTTCCTCAATTGATTGTTCTTGTGTATGTTCCAAATCTGCTTCCTTAGTCTGATTTTCCATTTCATATTGGGCTGTCACAGAACCCACTAAGTGCTCATTGTTGGTGTCTTTTGTAGTGTTGAAGTCAAAACAGTTTGTGATATCCTTAGCTTCTGATCTGGTTGCTCATCTACCTGTTTTAAGCCATCCACAAAATCCGATGGGTACTGCCTGAGACCAGTAACATGAGGAGAAGTGGAAATGTCTAGTTGTGCAGGAGTGACTATTGGAAGTGCCACCCTGGGGTCGGTTGCTTGATGTGTATCCAGATTTATCACCATATCAACATCGCTAAAAGCTTCCTTGGGATCTGTTGTAAGCTGTTGTTCAAATTTGGTGTCTTGTTGCAGGGGTTTAGAAGCCCTAGTTTGGCTAATACCTTGGGCATTCACATTGGTTTTTGTGGCATCTCTACGAGTCCATCTAGATGATCGAATCCCTTCTTTGCAGTTTGTGTGACCAAATTGCTTGCAGCACGAGCAGAAATCTGGCAGATCTTCGTAGTAAATAGGTTGAAAAAAAAGAGAGTTTGCGTAGGTTTATCCATATAGCCTTTGGTATCTCTTTAGAAAGATCAAGTTCAACACAAAGCCGAGCCACAGAAGGTCTAGAAAGGTTTTTGGTTGCAGTATCTATACGCAGAGGTCTCCCTATAAGATTTGCAATCGAGTAGAGAGCTGATGAATCAAAAAGATGGATTGGCAGTCCTTCGAGACCAATCCAAACCGGAATTAGTGGTGATTCTGTTTCCGCGTCATAGTCTGGTGTCCATCTGAAAACCTTCATAATACATCCATCCAATTTCCATGATTTGCGCAACAAACATCTCAAAAAATCCTTGTCCGATAAAAGTTTATCAAAATATTGCGTTCATCAAGAAGGGAAACAGAGAAACTGTATTCAAAGCCTATTTTTTCTAAAAGAAGAAGGATCCGTGCCAGTGCCGGCCTCAAAGAGCAAAAACGTCCAACAATAGCTTTAGAGAAGCGTGCAGACAATACCTGAATTTCGTCTTTAGAGAAAACGATTGATGGTAACCCTTTGTAACTCGTTGGCGATTTGAAGATTCCTGAAGCTGCGATTTCTGCAAACGCACTTGTACCATCCGTTGTAGCCATAGAGGACGAGAATTGGTAGCCGCTGCCATCGGCGGCGACCGGAACCTAGTGAGAGAGACGCTGCATCTTGGTACGTACACACACACACCTTATATATATATATATATATATATATATATATATATATATATATATATATATATATATATTATTTTTAAAGTGAATTTTATTAACTAAAAAAGAAAAGGAAATACAAGAGATGGGGTGGCCAAACCTACAGACTGGCCAAGGAAAAACCCAAGGGAAAATCCAAGTACATAAGCACACAAAACTACTATATAGATAAAGCAAGGGACGATGGTTGGTGTTGTACTCCTGCACCGAGTAATTTTCCTTTACAATAATATCCACCGTCCACCAGTATCTGCGAAGAAATGAGTTGTATCTAGTCCTGTGCGGCTGTGCTTTGTGTCTGCATTACCAAGAGAGCATCCTGATAATTCTGGAAAGGCCTGCATAATGTCCTACAAGCAAGAATATAAATACTAGACAACAAAAACCAGAGTGCAATAGATGTCCCCATGGCTAATCCATTTGCCAACTAGTCTAGAGAGTCTTGTATCCCTGCAAGTCGTCAGACAGTTTGTAAAGTACTCCAATAACAGCAACAACTTCCAAAAACTTGCTCAATAAAATCAACTTGGAAGGGAAGCTTAGAGGCAAGCAAGAAAGCCTGACCAAGACCTGCTGTAGTTTGCACAGGTTGAGTGAAAAGTAGGACCATGTTTTAGCTCCAAACCATAAAAACAAAGGCAAAAAGACGAGTAGATCCAATGGGAAAATGTAGGTTCATCAGAGCTATTGAATTATCCCCCTTTTCTTACCATATCAGTGAGTAAAAACTAGGGACCTTGAAGTCGAAATCCAATAGACATCTTTTCAACAAAAAGCTCTATAATCACAAGAAGAGAGTTTTGGATGGAAGAACCCCATACTGCAGAATAAAATGTTTAGGGAAAATTTAAACCATCCCAGTTCTGTTCAACTACCTTTGCAAGTTTTACCTTCTTTTTGGCTTTTTTTTTCTGGCTTCGGGTAAGGGGCTGTTTTGGAATTTTAGAAGCAGCCTCCTTCTTAACCGGACAACATTGTTTGAAGGCTTGAATAATATCATTTGTGAAGGAATTTTCTGTGTCATCAGTTTCCTCTAAAAAGCCCACAGGATTCTTTTTTCTTCCTTCAGTAAGAAGCCTCGCTTTGCTTCTGGTGACCACTTGAGAAGGAGAGAAGGTTTTCCGACCTTTAAACACCCTTCCCAGAAATAATGGTGTCTTAGAGCACCTAGATATGTCGATTTGGAGGGGTTTAAGTTTATAATCAATAAAGGCTCTGTCCTCTCCATCCGAGTGTGTGTAAAGTATAGGCTCATCTCTTTCATGTGGCATATCCTCAATGGCATTGTTGGAGAGTGCCATATTCCTTCCATCTAGATTTGCCAATGGGTCTTCTGATGTAAGTGGTTCTAATGTTTCAGTGGCATCTCCTTGATTAAATAGTGCAGCAAAGGAATTGGGCATAGTGGGAATGAATTCATTAGCAAACGGAGAAAGTCTGGATCTAGGCAACGGAGGATAGAGGATTGTATAGGGATGCTGGTTGTCTTCTAGACCTTGGATAGGAACTATCTGCTTACCCCTATCTTCTTTGTGGAGAATATGAGGTTGTGCATCATCCTTGATGACCTCATCAATCAAAGCCAAAGTGGAATTATATATTGGGTTTGGAGGAGTGTTCCCTAAAGCATCAATATGTAGACCAGAGTCTGCCTCAAACACAGGGTCTGAACTCGTGTTATCCTCCTCCTCCCCCGACTGTGATTGAAATCCAGGGGTATCTGTTTCCAAAGCTGTGGAATGAGAGTGAAATAAGGGAAGGCCTTCCGTGAGAGGATTAGACAACGGTTTTTCCGGTGTAGATGTTGAAGATTTGGTGACCTTGTCCAAGAAGAAAGATAATGCCTTTAATATATATATATATATATATATATATATATATAAAGTTATTTCGAATCTTATTCAAATAAAGATATGTATAAGTAAAAATAATAAGTTAAAGAGAACAACCTCTTAATATTTTTATTTATCATTCCATAAAATAAAATAATATTGTCACCTCATAATTTGTAAATAGTTTGCTATAATTTTAAAATAAGTAAGCTTTATTTTTATATCTGTAACAATAATTTGTAAAGAAAATAAATTTAAAGTAATAATTGTTCACATTGCAATCCCAACCATGCAATGTAACAAAATCCCATATTCTGAAAATCCCAAACCAATAAAGCCGTTTGATGTTACTTACGAGTCATTGCTGAACTATATGAACAATGTGAAGATGTCTTGAGTGACTTGAAAGGTTACACTAGGATGTATAAATTGCAACAAACTCCAAATCCCCAACTATACCTACCGTGAATGTGATGATTCGAAACTACAAAGGCTTTTGAAGAATTTTCAATCAAATAAAGAATATTGTTGACCAATGACGTACAATTGAGAATTATGAACGAACGAAGTTATGTGCAAACATGCCAAGTATACAATGTTATACACTGCGAAGAAACCTTAAGGACTTGGCATTGATCTAAAATGAACTAAATGACATTGATTTCATGTTTTGATTGTGGATCACAGGTAGAAAATTGGTTGCAGGAAGTGGCATCGCTCTAGTAAATTAAAGGAGACTCAAGCCAACATAACATCACACCAGATGTTGAGATTGTGCCGATGGACTATGTCAACACTGCCATAGAACGTCTAGCCAAAGCCGACATGAAATACGAATTCGTATTGGATTTTTCCACAGAGGAATAGGATGGATTGAAAAGGCAGGCATGTAGAATATGCAAATTGTAAGGAAGATGATGTAAATATTAAATTATTAGATGTTAATAATATTTTAAATGTATGAATCTATATATTGTTTAGTATATTGTATTTTTTGAATTTATATTTATTTAGTAATCAACACAAGATAAGAGCTGTCTAATAAAAAATTCAACTACTATTCAAACTAATAGTTTGAAGAGTAGATGTACAACTACACAAACTCGTAGTATTACTAACATTTAGATGATCAAAACAAACAGTTGTTTGAAATACTACAAAAACAGTAGTTCATATTTTTAAAATACAACACAAACTAATGGTTGTCTGAAGCAAAATTCTTTAGTAATCTTTAGAGTAGCTGTCTGATAAACAATTTAACTACTGTCATAAAAGGTAGTTTGAATACTTCAAGGAAAACTACAAAACACCGTTGTGTTAATAATCAATATACAACTAAAACAAACAGTAGTTTGAATAAGAATAATGTTAGTAATCCATATTCTAGAAATACAACAAAAGATAACAGTTGTCTGATGGCATTTTTGTTTAGTAGTCTTCCGAGCAGCAGTCTGATATATCCTTCAACTACTTTTAAAAGTAGATGTCTATATTGTTGAACGACAACACCAAGAATTAGAAGTCTAAAGTTAAAAACAACAGTAGTATTCATTACAGATAGACAACAAAAAATCACAGTTTTCTTTAATTCTAAAAAACAGATGTCTTACTCATACAAGGACAACACTAAAAAGTCGTAATCTAAAACATTACAAAACAGGTGTCATATCATCAACCATTTTACACAACTGTTTTTAAACAATAGTCTGTAAATATATCAGACAGCTGCTCGGAAGACCACTGAAATCAGCACCGTGAGACTACTAAAAGAAACAATTGTCAGCATCTATTTTTGACGTAGTTCTTAGTTACGTTCCTGACACTAACGGAAATCTATATAAAGGATCGTTGCATACCTCGCTTAATCAAAGACTATTGATCTCTCGAAAATAGAACGAGTTGATAACATGAACGGTTTGAGAATACGTATCTGTGCGGATAACGAAGTAATCGTGATTTAGCTAAATGAACATGATGCAGTCATTATTTAAGTGAATACAACAAGATGTTGAGTGTGGAACCTTAGAAAAATTTCGAGGAGGAAATTCCTTTAAGGGGGGAAGAAATGTAACGCCCCAATACATACCCTAAAATTCTTATTCAATTATTGCTCAATTAAATAAATTTGTTTTGATTAAAATAACTATTGTTGGGCTTTGGGCTGAAATGAAATATATTTTGATATCGAATATCACAATCTGGATAAATCTCATACATATTAATCCAATATATTGACTATATGTATGATCTTGATTGGGAACCAAAGTACAGATCCAAATTAAGAATAGATAAAGAATTTGATTAATAATGTGAACTTTAAAATGATTTATTGAAATAAATCATGAGAAAAAATAATGTGAATTAAATGTGAAAACCTTCTTTATGTCGGAAAAAGTCAAACACCCAAAAATACGATGTTAGAAAAAGTATTACAAATAAACAAAAAACTATATTGTTAGATAAAGTTTGACCGTCCGATCGTAACGGTGCAAACAAGATTCAATTCGGAGAAAGTTGGACCAAAAAGTGTACCCCGATTGGGGCCAAAATTTGTCCCAATCAGGGGAGGTGTGTACAAATGGCTCCTCCAAATCCACTAATGCGCAATAAGGAAGTTCATCGATCGAGTGACGCAGGAACCATGGGCTTCTTCTCTAAACTCCTCCTATATAAGGCATGCTTAATTATTCATTTCTCCACCATTCTCCATAATTTTTTCTTCTATTATGTTCCTTGGAGTGTGAGGAGTACACTGGTGCTGTCAATTTGGTGAGAGGTCGCCGGACATAGCCACAAAGCTTGCCGAAAGTTTCGCCAGAAAATATCCAAAGCCTCTATTTAAGCCCGAGGTAAGCCCTAAGATATATTTAGTGACTAGAATGTTCGTATAGATCGTTTCTACGTTCATAAACAGTTATTTGGTTGAGTTTTGTGTTTGACATGTTTGAAGAATTAAGAATCATAAACCTTGATATTGTCGTTAAAATTACAAAATTATGATGCCAAAATGATCTAAGAACCTTGGATCGGAGAACATTTATATATAGTTTAATTGAAGTTTGGTGACTTAAAATTACATTTCCGAAAATTGGCCCGAGGTTGAAGATGACACTGTTTAATACTATGCATAGTATGGTATCACCATGCCGCCTGGACGGTACCTAGGTACGTACCGCCAGCACGGTAGGCTATACCATGGCAATGGTAGCCTCCTACCGTCGGCTTGTTGCTCCTCTGGAAGTGGTTGGCGGCGGTCTGTACTAAGGTACCGTGACAAGGTACCCAGGTACTGCAACGGGTACTGTCCAGAATCTAAAAACCCGACTTTTGAACTATTGAATCTTATTTTTGATATACCAATCAATTATGATCAATATAAAAATGATTTCTGGAAATAAGTATGATGCTTTGAAAAATTCAAGACTCTTGTTTGATGCATGACAGTAAGCTAGGGTGTTAACACTCAATGCTAGGCCACTAGTTGTTATTTGATATATTGTGATGATTATTATTGAATGTTGATTATGATCAAACCTTGATGAATATTGTGAATAAAATGATGGTTATGAATTCTTGAACTATGAATCAAATTGAATATTTTAATTATTATGAAAATGATGTGTATTGTTAAGGATATCTAGAAAAACTCTAAGATATACCCATATTGATATTGATTTTGAAGGGTATCTAGAAGAACTCTAAGATATACCCAAATGACCAATTTAGTTAATTAATATTAATTTTAAGGGTATTTAGAAGAACTCTAAGATATACCCATTTAGTTAGGCCGGCCTTGCGAGTATGATGTCCAGTGGCCGAGGTTAAAACGTACATACGAGATCCACAAACAAAACTTGAGTACATACTCGTTTGGTGGTACCACCCAATTCGACGGTCAGTAGTCCGCTGTTCGGATCATTGTGTACCTTAAGCTAAGGCTAGGTTAAGAGTTGGTAAACCTTTTTGAAAAATGGTACCTTAAACTAGACTAGTTTAAGAGTTGGTTAAAAGTACCTTAAATTATGAATAGTTTAAGAGTTGGTTAAAATTAGTGCCTTAGACTGAGAATAGTTTAAGAGCTTGTTATTAAAATGATTTGGCCTTAGATTAAGAATAATTTAAGAGCACTATTGAAATAATGAATAATGAATATTGTATATATCATAAAATGACTCAAAGTAAATTGAATGATGACCAGAGTCGTGATTAGAAACTATAGACATATCTTTGACTAGAGCAGACTGAATGCAACCGGACCATAAGAGAAGAAGAACAATTATTGGGAAAGAAATATGCCTGCTTCGAGGAGGATGGGAGAAGAGTCGCTGCGGACAGACTCATGCTGCTGACATTGAAGAAGGGAGAAGATTGACGTATGCTGGAGTTGTGCGCGACTGGGTTAGAGAAGAAACACAAGGAATGAGGTACTGCTGGAGATGCATGTTGATCAAAGATCTTCTGATCGACTAAGCAGGTTGAGGTGATGATATGATCTAAAGAAAGAAGCGGTGTCGATGGATCCGGAGCCGGATGGAGGAGTATGGCAGATCATTATTGGAGGAATAAGTGGGAGTGAGGCCCACCGTCGTCGGATAAATCACTGGCGACGGCGGCAGAGGAAGCGGAATGTATTAGGTCACTAAGAGCGAAGGCTCCGATACCGTGTAAAAATAATTAATACATTACGCTTTATTGAGTGAATGACTAAGAGAGGAATACAACGTACCTATCTATAGGTGGAGGAATATATTCTAGAATCCTCCACATTAATGATTAATTATATAAGGTAATATTATACTCCCTCCGTCCCAAAAAGAATGAGACAGTTTGACTTTTTGGGAAATTAAGGGAGAGATATTTTGGTATTGACTTTCCAAAAATACCCTTGATGTGATTGGTAAAAGTAGGATGTGATGGGTAGATTATTAGGAAAAAGGTATGATGTGATAGGTAGGGTATGAAAAAGTAAGAGTAAATTCCATAAAAGGTCCTCAGTTATAGGTCGTTTTACATATTTAGTCCCTACATATCAAATATTATTAATTTGGTCCCCAATTATTTAATATATTTCCACGAATGGTCCTTTGTTAACATTTTCATTAAAACGTGGATAAAATTATAAATTCACACTCCTTTCTCTCTTCAATTAAGCTTCCTCTTCCCTTGTACTCCTTTTTCAAACCCGTCGTTGAGTTTCTAGCTTTGAACCCTAAACCAAAAATATCATTCTTCTCACAATTGTTTGTCTAACTAGAGGAACGATCATTTAAGTTTTGGGTTTAAAAACTTCAAACTCAGCGACGAGTTTGGGAAAGAGTATGAGAAGATGAAGAAAGCTTAAGTGAGGAGAAAGAGAAGTTTGAATATACAATTTTGTCCACGTTCTCAACGGAAATGTTATTAAAGGACCATTCGTGGAAATAAATATAATAATTGGGGACTAAATTAGTAATATTTGATATGTAGGGACTAAATATGTAAAACGACCTATAACTGAAGACCTTTTATATAATTTACTCAAAAAGTAAGGGGCAAAAGTAGTTTTTTATTAGAATTGTAACGGACTTTACGGGACGCAATTTTTTCTAAACGTAACAAACTTTTTGGGACGGAGGGAGTATATAATAGTAACTCTAACTATAATAAGTAACAACCATAGTTATAATATATGATATTAAATATATTAAATAATTGATATATTTAACAAAAACATTTGATGAATGGATAAAAATAGGGCCATGCTAGGGTGCCTTAAATGGTTGCTACCAAGTTTCGCACAGATAACAGACATGATAATCATTTGTGCGACATAGATGATAATAATATGTGCAAAGCTTGGGTGCACCCATGATAGCAACCATTTGGTGGCACCCTAGCATTTTCCAAAAAAGTATGTAAATGGATTCAGCGGCTTATCTAGAAATAGGAATGACGGGGAGCGGTAGTAACATGGGGTCGGGAGCAGCGGCCCAGAAATTTTTTTAAATGCACTTTTAAATTATGATGAAAAAATAAATTCTGTATCAAACGAGTTTAAAATAACTAAAAAATTATGTTTCAAAAGTAGATTAAAACAAAATATTTCAAAAATAAAAAAAATAATAGTGAAGGAATTACATAATATATTTAATTTAATGTAATTTTAATATTAAAAATATTTTAGCTTTATATTCTATTTAAATAGTTTTACTTTTCTTTTGAAATTAATTTTTTTTTCAGGGCATAAATATTATTTACTCAGGGCATAAAAAATCTTAGCGTTATATATAAATAAGGACCATGCTACACTTACACCAACAAATATACCTCATTTGTACACCACAAGTTTGCACAAACATTTCAATGGTTTACACCAACACAAGTGTTGGTGCGTTAATAAAAATTCACACGGACACAAATGTCGGTGCGTTTAACAAAAATTAGTTTTACACCAACACAAAATGTTGGTGCAAAACTGCGGGGTACAAATCTTGGAGTATACATAGCATAATCCTATAAATAAATCTGAGTTAGTACATCTAGCTATTGGTCTAGAGAGTATATATAAATCTATTCAAAGTGGAAAGTTAAAGAAGTAGGGCTTCTTCATCTTGACTCTCAACTTGTCATAAATTAAACTGACCACGTACTCCTAAAAAGAAATGAAAGGTTCATGACTAAACGCCAAAATTACATAAGACTTGCCCCATGCTGATCATTTTGCATCATTCCCCAAACACTGTCCAAAATCACTTTAAAAAAAACAAAACGGAAAAATAATTTCAAAAAAAAAAAAAAAGAGAAGAATTTCTCAGCTCGATCGTATTAATTTCGACAATTAGACTCATCATCAGGCAGGCTGGCTAGCTATGAGCAATAATGGACGTTAAGACGCCAGGAGAGGAAGGTAGCCGAATCCCGATCATCGTCGTCCTCCATATAACCGAACTCGTTACCGTATGCTGCAGGTGAAGCGTAGTTATCGTACGGCATTTGACTGTGGTGTGCCGCCCCCGGCCACGACTCCCTCATCATCATGCTCTCCCTTCCGCCATTGTTAGCCGCCTCCGCTGCGGCTGCTGCTCTCTTCTCCTCTTTCTTGAACCGAATTCCACACGCATTGCAAAGCGACTGCACATCATAAACCATTTATTTAATTGATTGTGATTCATTTCATAATTTAGAAATCTCACTCTCACGAAATTACTACCTCCGATACGTCGTGGTGTATCCGTGTAATTTGACTTTTTCGAATCCAATTGGATGAACTTTGAATATCAATTACTATCTATTTTTATTGAATATTACGGAGTAGCTAGTTAAAATGAACTAAAATTTTGATTTTTTTTTTTAAATTCAAATAGAATAGATACACTTGTAGAAGAGCCGGCCTGTGGTGTTTTTTAATGTAAAAGAGACCCCGGAGTATTTTTGGAACGTATTTTACTCCTAGCCGTTCAAAAATATAAAAATTTTATTTAGATGATATAGAAATTTTATGAAGAAAATGTTTTTTTTTTTCAAAAACAAGTAAAGTACAAATTTTTTGGTTGAATCCAAATTAATGGCCGGATAAAAGTAAATTATTTACGGCGGGCGGTCAACATTGATATAATCAAGAAGGAAAGCAAAAAAAAAACAAAAAAAACCAAAAGTTACCTTAGGGCCTCTGGGTCCATTCCTCCATAAGGGAGTGGAAGTTGTGTCACAGTTAGCACAGCGGCGTGTGGCGAGAGGATCAGAGCTGCCGGAAGCCCCGCCACGGCCGCCAGACGGCTTTACTCGCCGGGATTCCGCAGCAGCGTCCGGTGGTGGCCTTTCATTCCCATTACCGCCCAGACGCGTCGAAGGCGTTCCGAGGGACAGGGTGCAGTCCACGGCCGAAGAGTACACATTTTGGTCATCATAATAATTATCATAAGCGGCCGCCGCCTCTTCGTAATAGTCAGCTGCAGGTTTGTAGTAATTATTATACTGATGGGGATGATGATGATGATGATGATGGTCATTGTTATTTGGCATGGAGAATGAGAACATTGAGAATGAATCGTTGCCTTGGTATTGATTGTAGTAGGTGCCACAAGGGCAGTCGCCACTGCACCTATGCATCATTTTCTTGTCTCTTTCAAAAATAAAAAATAAAAAAGAAGAAGAAGAAGAAGAAATGAAATAAAAAATAAAAACTAAATCTGAGATTCGGTGAAGAGATCAATAAAGAGTACAAAGTAGAGTGGGGAGGAGGGAGTTAGAGAATATAGAGCTGTGCGGAGGCAATTTATAGGCTGTGGAAAAGGGCGGTCAGCGGTTGGAGTACGGTGGGCCACGCTGTCGTCAAATGAGCCTTCTCATTCTTCGATTTATTATTCTCAGCCTTTTGGATTCTTTGCAGCAGCTGATAGGGACAGGATGGGCCCCGCTTTTGGGACATTTGGTGCCCGAGGTAACACTCTTATATACTCCATCTCCTGATCTCCCTAATACCTCTCTCTCTCCACCCAAATTTGCCTTGCACCCCATTTTATTCCTTTCGCCCCTTTTCATTACGGACTACAACACTTCCATCCTTTATTTGTGTATTTTGAATTTCTGTGTATTACTCAATTCGTACAAAAATTTCTTTCTCAATTTGATTTGGCACCCTGATTAAGAAAAGTAAAAAAATGTAAAGACTTCAATGTATTGCCTTTGATCTTATGTACTCTGTAATAAAGTGAATATTACATTGTAGATAAAAAGGTAGAGGTAGAATGACCCATTCATTATAAGTTTGAGTAAATTACTGAAATAGGAGCTAAAGTTATTCGTTTTCCGTAAATAAGAGTACTCCTATTCTTATTACTTTTCGGCCTAGGGAATAGACCAAAATACCCTTTCAGTAGTCTTTTAATTATTCTAAAATGGGGACGGCGGATTACGGGGAATCGCGAAGAAAAAGGCGCTGTTTTGGATTTTGATTGGGCGCTAGAGTTACCATGTAGAACTAGACTTCTATTGCATGTTGGCCGAGAGTCTTTAGCAGAGTTTAACCAATTTAATTTCCGTTTGAGATAGGGTTTACTAATAATTTCTGAGAGAAAACGATGACGACCAGAAGCGCGAGTGCGAGGAGAATGACTACCAGAGCGGCAGAAGATGCTGACGATGATTTTGTCGATGAAATCCCAATTATAAAGACACCGAAGTTATTGAAGACAACAGCTGGGCGGGTGAGTGTTTTGTGAGTCATTTTGCTTCATGTGTCTCACAATTTGTATGTTATTGGATTAATTTTGGGCAATTTGTTGTTGCATGTATGATGTTTGATGTAATGACTGCGGGTAATTTGTGGTTTTATTGTTGGAAGGGCTTGATGCATGTGAGGTGTTGGGTGAAGAGTCTTGGGATAATGTCTTTTTAGTGGCCGATGAAATGCCTGAGTAATGACCGTGTTTGTTAAGTGTTTCCGATTGTTGGAAAATGTAGGTGCTTGTGAGTGCTTGTTTTTGTGAGTACCGGGAGTAATGACTTACTAATGTATGAGTAATTGGCTGATTTATTGACTGAATAATGTCCTGAAGTGATATGTTTTACAAATTTGGGAAGTCGTTGACGCAGCTGAGGTGTTGTGTGTAATTACATGGAATAATGACTGAGTAAATGGGTATTTAGTGTCTTTATAAATGAATACTTTTGAGTATTTTCTTTTTAACGCTTGGGAATCGGTAGAATCTTGAGAGTTGTTTGATGTAAGGACCTTGGATTTTAGGCGTTTTATGCGTTGTTAATACATTACTTGACAGCCTAACATTACATGTTAGATTTGTGGTTTTATATTAGACAGCAAATTGATAGTTGGTTGGGTAATTTGTGGGTTAAGTGATGGTGGGTAGGGGGCTTGTGCAGATTTTTTTTTTTGCTGTTAAATGTTGAATACCTATGCTGTGTGTCGGTGTTTTTTGGGTGTGTGTGTGTACATACTGACCTTTTTATAGAAGTCATTAATCATGTTAATGTTTCTCAGAACTTGACATTAGTCTTATGCATCAGTGGAGTGTGTATTTCTTAGTGACTTTAGATCTACCCATTTTGTTTTTTGAGGAAAGCATTGTGGTCGTGGGGTGTTATAATGGTTGTTTAATTTTATGTTGAAAACCTAACATTATATTTCAGATTTGGGTGTTTATGCTACACATGAGATTATAATGACCTTTGCTCTGTGAGGGCTGTAATTCACTCTTGTGTTGTTGTGTGTGGGCGTAAAGCTGATTCATCATATGCAGTCATTATTTTATTTAATGTGTAATAATTTGAGTCATTAATCTGGTAATGTACAAGGTGCAGAAATGTGTGTAAGTTAATGACTGTGCCTTAAGTCATTGGAGTGAGATTATGTGGTGTGAGGTGTTGGCATCATTGTAGTAGGTGTCTTGATGTAGAGAGCATGATATAGGTAGTTTAATTTTATAATGAAATATTCCCTGGACTGGCTTATTGAATGTGGTTTTGTTGGAATACTTTACATGTTTTTTTGGTCTTTAATCACCGTAATGACCTTATCGGTCGTGAGATTTTTTTACTTTGTATATGGTGTGATGTATGTTTGACGTTATGTTTTGGTAATGCAACACAGGTATACAAAAGGATGTGTGACGAAGGACTTTTGGTTGGGAAGATTGGAGTGAAAGTTACATGTTATTGCAATGTATGGGTTGGGGCAAACATTGTGGAGGGAGTGGTCAGTGATGCAGATCTGTTAGAATTAAAGAAATCAGCATTTGGTGACTTCTTCAAACTAGGTGGAATTAAGTGGCTGACTGGTCAGTTGATGATTATGTTGGCATTGAATTATGTAGAACCAATAAAGCAGAGCGGAGATGTGGACAGGCTAAAGTTTCACATTGGTGACCGAGTAGTTGAGTTCAAGAAATCAGACTTTGCGTTGATAACCGGGATGAAATTTGGGAAAAAAACCGAGTTTGGGGGTGTTGACATGAATGAGCCTAATGACATAAGCAAGAGGTATTTTGGAGGGAAAATGAGCGTAACACGTCAGGATGTGGAGTATGTGTTCAAGAATGTACGTGGGATTAAAGGTAAGAAGCCGATGGATGTAGTGAAATTGGCTCTACTTTACCTTGTGTGCTGCCATGTCGTAGGGAACCAAGGGAGGACAAGGATCCCAGCACTTTACATGCATTTGGTTAATGACGTGAAGCTGTTTAATGACTTTGAATGGGGAGAGCACCTTTGGAAAGATGTGGTGGAGAGCATGGGCAAATGTTCTACGATCCTCAACACGGGGGGTAATGGTCGTTTTACATTCCCTGGTTTTTTATTCCCCTTGCAAATTTGGTCATTTGAAACATTCCCCCGGTTGATGGAGAATGGAATTTGCGCTATTGGGAAGGACAGTAAATCCTTGATTCCGAGAGCATTGCGTTGGGAGACTGCGTTGCGGCCCAAACAGCATGTGTTGGAGAATTCAATATTCGGAAAACCAGGGGTAACGTGCCTAAAAGAAACAATATTTTATTAAATTCAAGACATTAATTTCTCTTACATGTAACTAAGTTTCTTTTAGTAAAATGTGTTCCATTTAGACATTAATTTTTCTTACATGTACCTGAGTATCTTTTAGTAATGTGCCTAAAGAAACTTTCTTTTAATGTATATAGGAAAGTGTCAACTGGAAGGAGATGGTTGCAACCCCCATGGAGCGTGGCATGGCAAACATTGAAAGATTGCTAAGTGTGGGAGGTGTAGATAATGGTAGCAGTTCAAATGCTTGTGGAGAAGCTGTTAATGAAGAATATGGAGCTGGTCGTAGGTCTTTAAAGGGTAAGTTTCATTGGGGGCCTGTGACTGCACGCGTTGATGGCGTGCAGAATGAAGATGGAATGCAGGTGAAAGGTCCTGTGAGTAAAAAAACAGCAAGGGTGAAGAGAACTGAGAAGAAAACAGGAAACGCAGATATGCCTCGAAAGCAAAGACCAACAGTGGTGGAGGATGTATTGGGTGAGGGGGGAGGTGAGAATGAACCTTCACTGCGTGATGTCTTGACCGCCATAGTTCACATGGAGAAGAGAAATATCAAATTGCGAGTGGAAGTGACTAAACTGCGAATAGCACTGAATGCGCAAAGCCGGCTACTGAAAAGGTTATTATTAGGTAAAAAAATAGCTAAGCGGCAACAGAAAAAGAGAGGATATAAAATAGAAGAGAATGGAATGCCGAGCTTCGATTTGGGTATAGAGAGTCAAGAGAGGAGAGATGATCCAGGCAATGGGCAGGAGGATATGATTTGGGAGGAGGACATAATTAGGGATGCTGATATAGGAACCCAACTTTGTGTTTCAGATAATGACGTTGAAGATTCGTTGAATGACATAAGCACACAAGAGGTTGATGGGCGATGGAGGAAGGCAGTCGAGAGTTTGGGGCTGAAGATGGAACCAGGCAAGGGTGCAGAGTCTAGTAAGACAATGAATTTGGCAAATGAAGAGACAGCAGATGATGAGCATCGTGATGAAAGGGTAGTGGAAGAGCAGGCGGATGTTGTTCAGCGTATGGATGATGCGGAACTTATAAGGGCATCCACAAGTGAAGGCGTGTGTGCTGGAGGATCTGGAAGTGGGAGTGGAACTGTAAGTAAACATTATGATGTTTTCTAATGGTTTCTTTATGTGTTGTATATTATGTATTGTTGTTTTTTTGAATAAAAACTTTGGCTTTGAAGGTTATTGGAGAAGTGGCTGGTGGGTTCCAGGACAAGTTTGAGACTGTATCTCAAATTATTGTGGTGTGTGTTGTGCAAATTGTATATGTTTATGTTCTCATATCTAAATGTCTGATTTTACACTGCGTGTTATGAGTGTAAGATCTGCAGGATTATTCAGCGTCTCAACTTTTTTTTGATTTAAGCGGGAATTTGGTTGGCGGTGTGGACAATTCAAAAATTCAGGTGGTTAATGCCTGATGTGCTATCAAGATGGGGTTTAAGTTAGTTCATAGGTGATGCTATGTTTTAATGTCCTTATTTCGTAGTATGTTTTGAATGTTAGGCACAGGACGTAACGCCAGAGAAAATTTGCTGTGAGAATGTAAAGGAGGTGGATGAAGAGATTGTATGCGATGGTGCTGAGGAAGCAGTGGTCATTGAGGAACCATGCACACAGATAGTGGTATGTGCACTATGTTCTTTCCTAATGTGTTGAGTGTTATGTACTGTAAATACGACTGCCAAAGAAAGTGTTGTTTGTAGTACGTTTTTTTGTAATTTGTTATAAGTAGTGAAGTTGTATAATGACTGGGAGGTGGAATAATGTGAGGGGATGGTGGACAGTTCATTGTGTGATGAGTGTTAGCCAATTTGTAAAGGGTAAGCGTTGTGATAATTGAAACATATTGACCTTGTTTTGCATGTCATTACTCCCTCTGTGTATGTTGTTAAGGACCTTGTATGTGCACAGCTATGGAAATGTAATGTAAATGTGCCTTGTAATGAGTTTGAATGTGTACCATGTGATGTTTAAGGCAGGTTTGATTATAGATTTACAGAGGTTATGAATGCAACACGTTTTTTATTCACGTTTTTTTTGTGAGTGTAACACAGGTCTATGAAGAACCAATAAGTGTTGACATACCAAGAGAAGTGAGAGATCGGGGGAAAAGACCACTGAAGTGCCCACAGCGGTTCACTCCTGACCAGCTGATAGTCAAGCGTAAAAGGAAAAAGGTCAGAATAGTGATGGACCATGCTGTAGAGTTCGGTGGAGACGGAGATGATTTCATGGGGCCATTCACATTAAACCCCACTGAGATGCCAGGTGATGACGATTTGAGGGAGGTGGATGAGTTCATGAACAAAGGTCTGTTAAGGAAGCATAAGAAGTCGCCCGGGCGTAGGTACTGTGCAAATGAAAATGTCCTATCACCAAGTGAGTTTAAGATTCACTATGATGAGAAGGACACCTTAACGAAGAGCTGGTACTACGAGATCTATTTCCCATGGGGGTGGCTCACTGATACGGTAATGTTAATTTCATTGTTTATTTTAAAAGTGTACTTGCTGTGTTCAATGCATATGTAAATGTAATCAATTTTAAAATGCAGCATCTTGATGTCATTTTCTACTACCTGAGGATGAAAGGCGTGGAGTTTGGGTTGGCGCAAAGGTACACAACGACAGACACCCCGTTCCTTGAATTATTGAGGACTTTGTGCGATAGATATTTGAAGAAAGAACTAACAATGGAGCAAGCCATACGGAATAAGACAATAAGGAGCACAATCATTGGAGGAAAGATGGAGTACGGCCGTCCATGGCAGGGTGCAGATTTTGTGTACATGCCACTGAATACGGGGAGCCATTGGACGTTGCTGGTTCTGGACATTACGCAGAAGGTAATCACAACATATGACTCAAGCCTGCGGAGAAGCGATTCGACAAAGAAACTACAGCAGTTTATGCCAAGCCTCCAGATGTTTCTACCAAAGCTGATGGATAAGCTTGGAGTGTATGAAGGACGGGATGAAGGTCCTATAGGTGACAGTGTCCTTGCGATTGAGGGTGGGTCATGCTGCCCCCAGCAAAATGACGGGTATGTCACACGGACGTTAATGCATGAATGTCCCTCGTAATTAACATAATGTCTTTATATGAACTGGGTCATTGAACTAATTTGGCATGAAACAGGTCTAGCTGTGGGATGTTTGTAGTGAAGATGGCTGAATTTCTCATGATGGGCCATGATGTGCAAGATATGAACGATACTGATATTGCTGCGTATCGTAAGAAAATGACCACGGAGTTGTTGGCGTATTCTGCATTGTAGGACTCATGGAATGATTTTTTTGTTCGGAACTGCCTTCAGTCGGGTTGGTTTTGTTTGTGCGTGTAGTGTGGAGACCTCTTCTTAAATTCCCCTTTTTTCTGCTTTGAGCGGTGCTACTAATTAGGGTGTTTACAGTGGTTACGATTGACTTATGTTTAATGACTTGAAGTGTTTGGCAGTTTAACTTTATTTTGCTCACGGTTTATTTAGTTTTCCGTCATTGAATGGGGTGTGATTAATGTGTGTGGTATAGGTGATGTTGTTTTGTTGGCTTTTTTTGGTTAAAGCGATGCAGACCCGAAGGATTAAACTGTTTAGTGGAACATTAAATGGAAAAATTGTGGTTGGGTTGTCAGAGTTTTCCTCACTGGGCAGTTTGTTGCGGAACAATGTTTTTTTGTGCTCATTAATTAAGGTGGAGTGGAGGGTAATGGCTACTGAAATGGATTAGGATGTGTTTGAATGCTTTTGGTCATTTGTGAGAATGTCTGTTTTAGGTAGTGAGTATGGCGCTGTGTAGTGGTTTTTTGGTCACTGTTCCAAGCAGTCATTTCCAGATTTGTGTGTTTAGTCATTATTGTACGTGAAATGGACAAAGGGGGATGGAACTGATTTCCAATACCAATTTAAAACTAGATAAGGTATAAATGTGTATAATGAATCAGTAAATGTCTAGGAACAATACATAATTGAAATGTGCGAGCAACGAAATCTCGCAAAAAGACCACCGCTTTAATCAATGTTTAAACACTAACTGAACCTGCAAATTTTATAATGAATGAATAAATGTTTTAAGAAGAATAAATAATGAATAAGAAATTGGGGGTTGCACACATGTTCGTGAAAGAAGTCAAGCACGGCTTAAAGCAATGGGATTCGAACACGTCTTCCGATTATGTCCTGATGATTTGCATCGTGAGCATGTTTGCCGCTTCCCATGTTCACCTTTTGAAGGGATCCTGCGCTTCTTTGGTCTTCCTGGTGGTCGTTTGGAGCAAGATGGTGGAAGGCAAATGGTGTGAGTGACGTCATCTGGTACAACCCATGAATCTTTAGAAGGAATTGGGTGTATGATCCCACTATATATAGCCCTCCAAGAAGCAGCAGTGTAGAACGATGATATGTAGTCGTAGCACGACAAACCTTTCCGAGAACGAGTAGCAGCAACTGCATGCACACATACGAAATGGTCCAACTGGAATTCACAGCAGGTGCATGACCGGTTCTGAAAATTAACCACGAACGACCGACCGTTCTTGTCAAATACTAGGAACTCAAATGCACAAGCTGGTCTAACCTGCGAATTGTAAACACCATCAGTTAAAAAATGCTAGGGAATCAGTTTAGAACTCTGTTACGTAATGGGATGGGGTATACGCATAATGACTAGTGTGGCATTCAAACAATTTCGTTCTAGTTGGTTTTTTGAAATTGGATAATGACGCAGCACACGTAATGTCCGCGGATGTGAGTGCATGTGCAAGCCTTGAAAGACTTTGCTGGTGGAGAATGGTCGGTACGTGTACTGAAGTGAGAGTTGTGTGATTAATGACCTCTTCAAGCGGTAAGTAATATCCTGAAAGTATTATAATGACTGCAGGTGTGGAATGTGAATGTTAACCTGGGTAGAAGTACATGTGATTATTATTTTAAAAATGACTTACTTCCATGACTGTTGAAGCGGCGTGTAGTTCCTTGAGTTCTGCTTCGTAAAATTTTGTCAATATAGATGACGTTGAATTGGCGAGCTCTCGGCGTTTATGGAACCAAACTTGCATCCTCCCCACTAGGAAATCAACAAGTTGTGAGATTGGATATTCACGTGGGATAACATCAACATTGTTCATCGACTCAGCAAGATTAGAAGTCATTATTGAAAAACGGTTATTTGAGCACGATCTTGCCCACTTTTCTTTTCCGATTGCTTTGAGGTATCCAATAATTCTTGGGTCATCGCTGCTGAGATATCGCAAGAATCGGTCACACTCTACCTCGGAAGCTGCCCTAGCGGCACCATAAAATTTCCAGGACAATGACTTCTCGGAGCCATTGAAATTAGACTTAATATTCCCGAGAATGTGGAATATGCAATGGCCATGACCCGCTTAAGGAAAGACAGATTTCACAGCCTTGATAATTCCATCATGCCTGTCCGAGACTATATACTCCATTGGGCGGTGTTTAAGGGCTTGCTTTACTCTAGATAGAAACCAGTGCCAATTCGCATCGTTCTCTGCGTCACATATGCCAAATGCTAGTGGAAAAATCTGATTATTCCCATCACGTGCAACTGCAGTTAGGAGTGTCCCCTTGTAATATGATTTCATAAAGGAGCCATCGATGATTATGACAGGAACACAATGTGGCCATCCATCCCTCCAAGCTGCGAGAGAAATGAATAGATACTTAAAAAAGTGATTTGGTGTCGTGGTGAGTTGGATCAAAGAACCAGGATTAGCTTGACGGAGCATAAAACACATCGATGGCAGGGATGCATATGATTCCTCTGGTGTTCCAAAACAAATTTTCAGTGCCTTCTCTTTCGCAAACCATGCCTTCTTGTAAGTCATTGCAATCCCATGTTCCCTACGCATGTCGGTAACAATTGAGTTGGGAGGATACGGCTTTATTGTTGCGTCACAAAAGTTATGTTTTACTAGCTCTGCAACAATGTGATAAGTTGCCTGACGTGTTGTGCCTTGGCGAACGTCAATTGGGCATTGGTGGTCACGATTGTACCTGTAAGACATTAAGGTCAGAATTCATGCCCTTTAGTGAAAGGTATGGTGTTATAACATTATTCGTATAACCATCCCACCGTGTAGACATTATGCGGTGTAGACATTGAGTTTGTAAGACATGAATGACAGAGTGTGGACGTTTTGAACATGGTCATTATGCGTTATAGACATTATGCAGTGTATAAATTTTGCACAGTAAATGTAATTTGTGAAGACATTATGCAGTTAAGACATTATGTGAAATAGACGATATGCAGAGTAGACATTATGCAGGGTAATCGTTATGCAGTATTGAATTTATGGCATTATGGAGAATAGACATTATGGTATGTAAATATTATGCACATTACACTTATTTTCTGAAGACATTATGTAGTGTAGTCATTATGCAGAATATAGGTTATGCAGTGTAAACAATATGCAGTGGAGGCATTATGCAGGTAAACCTTAAGCCATTAAAGTCTTCTGTAATCACTTGAGGAACACACACAGAGATCGTAAAATTCTGCACTATATGATAGAAAAAATTAATACACACCTACGTATCTGGAACATGTCAACGCCCAGTAAACGCACCGCCCGAACAGCCCATTTGCACCGAGGGAAGTCCACACACACAACGTGGAGCTCTGATTTTTTTGACGTCCTGGTGCGGTACTGGAAACAGTTGGAAATTGCTAGCATCTTCAAATGAAAGTCGAGATCCATTTTGCTAGCATATATGGCATCAACGGCTATCCTGGTTGGATCAAACCGAGAAGTAACACGCATCTCCTTCAGAGAGTTAATTTCTTGCTGGGACATAGCAAAACCAGAGCGGTCGGATCCAGGAGAGTTGCAGCAAACCAAATCCCCATTTTGGTCATTAGGGACTGGGTACTCAACACCATGATACGTGTCAAATAAAGACTCCATAGACAAGGCATAATGAGATGATATATTGATCCAGGAGAGTTGCAGCAAACCAAATCCCCATTAGTTCGCATGGTTTCATGTTGTAGAGCATGACGAACCGACGCGTCCGATTTAGTTTCTTCCTGGGCATCTGAGTTTAGGTTGGAATGATAGCCAAGGAAAATCTGTGGAACTTCCCCAAGAACTGACCCTCCATTTGAAACACTCCTTTCTGCAAAATCACATAATTCAACGCACAAAGGGAAGTCACGCAGCGACGGATAGGTGCTCTTCAAACGAAGGTAGGCGTGAAGGCTCGCATCATCATTAATGGCTACATGACTTGCGCATGAATTAGACATATACGAAATTATAAAAACAGAATTTCCATAAGAAGACGGGACCGTATTACGAATCATCTCCAGCAGGGCTTGGTATGGAATCATCTCCAGCAGGGCTTGGTATGGAGCGTGAATAGGAATGTCAATCTCATATGCATGTGTGTAAGAGAAAACACCATTAGCATCCCATTCGCCATCAAATTGCAAGAGACAGTGGATGCTCGCAGGTGTGCCAGTTGCAAAATTGGATACAGAAAGCAATAATGAAGAAAACATATTGAATTGTGAGGGGGATTGGGGGAGATCAGAGAGAGTTAGAGATGGCTGGGAGAGGGGAGATGCGGCAGAGGGTATGGCTAAAGGAGAGGGAAGAGCCGTAGAACTGGAAGTAATGGTTTGCTAAAAAAAGGGTAACGGTTAACTAAAATAATGGGGAGTTAATTCTTAATCATTATCACTTAAAAATGAGAAAAAAACGGGTGCCATGGGTGGAGGGGTATTTTTGGGTGGCCAGTGCATTTTAACTCCTAAACAAGGGAAAAAAACATACCACTCCTATCTAGAGAAAACACATATGTTTTGGTCCTAGATGGAACAAATTTTACTATAAGTTTTTTGGCAAAATAGGAAACATGAAAGAAATTTTTGGACCATCCAAAAAGAAAAGTGAGAAAAAAATTAATGAACGGATGGGGTACTTATTGAAAATTAAATCATTTTTTTCTTTTGGTAGAGTCCACAAATTGTAAGAGTGTGTATTTTGTTAATTTTTTATTAGCGACTTTAGCCTTTCTCATATTAAAATTTATAATCCAAATAATGTCTCTTAGCTTGTTCATATAATTTAATTTCTACATCATCTACCTTTAAACACCGTACCATATTTTCAAAAAAAAAAAAAAAAAAAACTCACAACTCATTAATTCATCCGTCCATCCATTTAATTTTACATAGGTCCACTTGTACTTTAATTTTTTTAATTTACTCACTCCATTTCAAAATGAATGTCACGCTACACAAAACGAAGCAAAATTTCAAGATCGATATTTCAGTTCATTTTATTGAAAATTGGTATAAAAATAAAAAATAAAAGTTATATATCTAAAAGTTTTTTTAATTTATAAAATAAGTGGTGATGATAATATTTTATTTTAATTTATCAAATAATCAATGAAAGCACACAACTAAACAAAAATTCTCGTGATTAGTTAATATGAAGTGTGACACCACTTTTGGGACGCAGGGATTATTATTTTAAATAATTTATACTCCATATTTATTACAAGATAATACTAATTTTTTATTGTAATATAATTGATGAATAAACAAATCACAAAAAATATTAAATTAAATATTTAGAAATTATATGAATTTATATTTAGAAAAATCAAATTAGAGAAGAAAATTACTACAATTTAATATAAATATAAATCCAATAACATTAAAAATTATTAAATAGAACTTATTTTTTCAAAAAAAATTATAATTAAATAATAAAAACACATTACTATAATAGAAACTAAATACAATCACCACATTCAAAAACAATGTACATAACGATTTAGATCGAAATGTGTTTAGCATTTAATAGGTGGGACTATTTGTCAACATGAATGGTGCTTAAATGCTTAAAAAACTAGTATTCTGACGAGTTCGAAAGAAATTTTTGTCGATTCTTTATTATTTCAATAAAATTTATTTTTCAGAATAAAGAAAATATATTGCTTACATGATTTTTAATACTACAAACGAAAAAAAGCCCAAGTAAAATAAATAATATTTGAGGAACAGAATGTAGAGTTAACAATGTTTATTTTAATACCAAATTTTCTGAAAGACTTCAGGGTATACAAAATTTTTGGTATGGTTGCAAGGATTTTCATTGTCATCTAGAACTAATATCTTTAATCTTGTCTTTGTCTTCACTCTTGAAATAGCAACATATAGTTTACCATGTGTGAACAATGACTTGGTTAAAAATAATCTCACAAATGACAATGTTTGACCTTGACTTTTATTGATAGTCATAGCAAAACATAAGGCGATCGGGAATTGTCTTCTTTGGAACTTCAAGGGTATACTTGGATCAGATGGTACCAAATTCATTCTAGGGATGTAAACTTTTTCCGCGACTCAATTTTCCTAAACCACAATTGCACCGATAATATTATTTCGCAGCTCTTGAACGATTAATCTTGTCCCATTACACAATCCGGCTAGATGTTTGGTCAATGTTTCTCAATAGCATAATCGGTGCCCCTTTTTCAAGACTATTTTATGGTTTGGGATTCCCGAACATTTGATTTCATTCAAAAACTCAATTGTTATCCAATCCCCATCAACACCTACATCTGCATTTGCTTGGCACGAAAAATCAGTTCTCAAGTACTCCTTTTCATCACCAGAAATGAGGGACAAAACAAATTCATTTATCATCTCAACTACTTCGAGAGTTGGTGCCAATAGTGCTCTATCCTAAAAAAAGAACAATTTTTCATATTCTCTAATATATTCGGATAAGTGAAGCTCATTTTACTCTTCATACGAGAACTTGTATCAGGATTCGAGCGGATTCTCAACATCACCAACTCCATCCATCACATGACCTCGCTTTCCATCACCCATTTTGATTATCCAATCAGAAAAACCTTGTGTGTCCCTATATGTGCAAGAAGACATCGATGAATGCAGTCTCATATTCCTGGTCAACGTATAAACTTTACAGTACGACCACAAATGCAAGGAATTAACCGTAGCACCTACAATTTTCTGTCTCGAAGCTCTGGGTAAAACTGGAAGGATCTGCCGAAAGTCACCTCCAAGTATAACTGTTTTCCCTCCAAATGGTTCATTAGTTACCATTAGAAAACTCCATGATATCTCTCATTGTGCGATCCAAAGCCTCAAAAGCAAATCTATTCATCATGTATGCTTCATCCCATATGATCAGACTTGTTTGTTGGATGAATTCAGCTTTCGGGCTCCCTTGTTTGATGGCACATGTTGAGCACTTAGTTAGCGCCAATCTTTATATTTATCTTTATATATAAAAAAGGAGAGTTAACCTCTTAGAAATTTGACATGTGGAATGTCTACTAGGCTATTTTTTACATGTCATCTTCCATCACATTTAAAAAAGTGGCAATATCTACATGGCACTTTTTTTTGACAAATTATCATTTATTTATGTAAGACAATAAAAAAATAGTTTGTTAGAAATAATAGTATTATTTTATAATTCAATATTTTTTCTCTCTTTATGTATAACAAAGCTTTCAATTAATAAACACGTAACTCTTTTCACCATTAAAAAAATTATACGAGTATTTGTTTAGGATATGCTTAAAAAATTAATTTTGAATCTATTTGTTTAAATAATGATATAAAATTAAAAAATATACAATATGATTGGTTTATACTAATCTTCAACTAGAAAAAAAACTACACATAATTCAATAGTTTAAATATATTAATTTTTTGATTTGATTTGATTTAATGACTAGAAAACTTATTACATTTTAGACCATTTATGATCTAAATTTAAAAATATAATATTTTTAATTACCTATTAGCAAATGATACTTAAATTAAAATATAGAATGTAGTTAATCAAAATATGTGTCACCATACCATACTATGTTTACACAAACATTCTTTATGATTTCAACATCATCGAATAAATTTAAATATGGAATATAGGTATTGTTTTTAATTTTACATTCTTTTCCATTTCATTTATAATAAAACTTTCAATGAATAAATAAAATTTCTTTCATTAAAAAAGATATTCTCTTTGTCTCCAAATAAATTTTATATTTGTTTATGATATGCTTATTAAATGAAGTTAGCTTTTCTTTTATTGGTTTAAACATTGACATGAAAATATAAAATACTCTTGTTTATTTAAATCTCTAAATTAATATTTTATAAAACAAAAATTCACGGGCTTGAATGATTACTTATTCAAACGTAAAAGAAAAAATAAATAAAATTTCCAAATTGTATTTACAATTTTCCATTCAGAGTCATAGGATTACTAATATTTTTTATCTAAAAAGTTATTCTCATTTCGAGGATAGGCATGACCGGAACCCATGCTTGAGGTTGTAGAAATGGTAAATGATTTTTTCATATCCCTCATTCCTGGAGATGAAGAGTTTTGATTACTCATGCCACGCATATTTAGATGTTAATGTTTATGGCAATTGAATAACAGTTGAGTTTTCGAATAAATTCAAATGTTCGAAGATGTCAAACCACAATATAGTTTTTAGAGTAAATTCCATAATTGGTCCTTTATAATAGGGGGGATTTCCATATTTAGTCCTCTATTATCAAATATTACCTCCGTAGTCCTTTTTTTAAAGGTACCTTACCACAAATGGTCCTTTTTTTGATCTTCTGTCGTGTTGGTGTTAATTTAAAGGCTAAAAGTATAATTTGACATCAACATTATGTTTAGTGACGTGTTCTGATATTGGTTAAGCGGATAACACAAAAATAATGACTATGGTTGTGGGCTAGGGTTCTGACGAAAGACCACATTTGTAGACTATGGTTGTAGTAGAAAGCGACTGTAATTCACAAACGACGCAAATGGAACAGCCTTTGAAATTGTGTGTGACAAAAAAAATATATTTTCATTGTGAAATTACACTTTTAGCTCTCAAATTAACACCAACATGATAGAAGATCAAAAAAAGGACTATTTGTGGAAAGATACCCATAAAAGAAGGACCACTTGGATAATATTTGATAATAGAAGACTAATTAGGGAAACCCCCCTGTTATAAAGGACCAACTATAGAATTTACTCTAGTTTTTAAAAAGGGGTATCAAAATAGTTTGGATAGCTGCATAAGAGTGTTATCGATGCTTTAATGTTTTTGGGAAATACAGAGAAAAGGTTTACATACTTCGGATGAATTTGGTACCATCTGATCTAGGACTACAACTGAAGTTCTAGGCAGGATAAATCTCAATAGTTTTATGTTTTGCAATGACTATCAACAAAAGTCAAGGTTAGCATTGTAATTTGTTGGATTATATTTAATTAATTCATTCTTCATATATTCATGGTCAAAATTATGTTGTTGTTTCAAGTAAGGGTTAGCGTGGTATGGTATGGTACGGTATTTAGTCTGTACCGTTACCGTACCAAATATATCGGTTCGGTATGGGATTTTACATTGTACCGATCCCGATCCCGAAATTTCGGTTCAGTATAGTTTGGGATGGTTCGGTTTCGGTTTCGGTAAATATTGGGACGAATATATATACTTACCTAGTTTATACTTTGGAATGTACAAAACTTTTTATTTAAAAAAAAATCGAAAGTGCATTCAAATTAAAGTAAGATAAACAATTGGAAAATGAATAATTAAATGCAAAAATACTTATAAAACTTAGTTTAATTTATACTTCATATTTTACAAAAAAAGAGAATGAATGATAACAAAATAATATTTCAAATATTTGTTAAATTTTGTTATATAAATCTACAAAAAATAAAATCAAATAAATGATTATATAAATAAAAGATTATTTGTAATTCATCTACACTTGAACCAACTTTTCAAAATCAATTTTTTTTGAATGAAGAAATATAAAAACATTGTTATTTTTAGAACGTATTTGTATATATATTCGGTTCGGGATTTTTCGCTATGGGAAGTTACCTCGTACCGATCCCAAATACCGGACCGATCATTCGGTTCGGTATGGTACGATTCTTTTTCGGTATTTTATCGGTTCGGTAATCTCGGGTTTTTCGGGAAATTTCGGTATCGGTTCGGTACATGTTCACCCCTAGTTTCAAGACTGAAGACAAAGACAAGATTATAAATATTGGTTCAAGATGACAATAGAAATCCTAGCAACCATACCAAAAATGTTGTATATCTTAAAATCTATTACAAAATTTGGTATTAAAAAACACTTTGTTGAGTACACATTCAATTCTTCAAATAATATTCCCTCCGTCCATTTTTAATGTTCAGAGTTTGACTTGGCACAGAGTTTAAGAAATGTTAAATTTTACATTGACTTTCCAATTATGACTTCCCACATTCCCCGCCCCCTATACGGTCACCCACTATCCACTCCCATGAACAGTGCCACGGATCTTCCCAAGAAAATTTCCCCTTGATTTTGTGGTCCATTTTTGATGATTCTTGGTTTCTTGGATTCGCATATCCATGTAGAAGACGAATTTCAGCTCAATCTCGAAGAATTGTGGAGGAATTCAGCTCAATTGAAGGTCAACCCTAGCACAGACACTGTTCATAGCGGCACCTGCAGGGCTGATTTCCTTCGGTTTGCAGCTGTTTTGGACTCCACTTTTTGAGGTATTGTGAGCGACTTGGAGTGCCTAATTACATTCTTAAGTTTGTGGAGCAATCCCAGCAAGAATTTGAGATGTTTGACTCAAATTGGAATTTCGGGTACTGTATCCATCACATAGATCTGAATTATATTTCTAAGATTTGGACCAAATCTGAATAATCTGAAGAAGAAAATGAAGATCCGAAGAAGAAAACGAAGAAGAAGAAGAGAAAAGAAGAAGGGAAGAGATATGAGGAATAAATCTGGAAAAAAGAAAGAAAAGAAAAGACAGAAGGGAAAGAGAAGAGAAACACAGGGGAGAAGACCGCTAAGAATGGAGAAGGAAAGAACAAAGAAGAGAAGAGAGAAGAAAATGAAGAAAAAATACGGAGTATGAAAAAAGGTTAGGTGGGGTGGCGGTGGAGATAGGAGGAAATGTAAAGAGAAAAGGAAGTGGATAGAATAAAGTAAGGGTAATTAGGTCTTTTGACATAGAAAATATTACCAAAAAAGGAAACACAAACATTATTTATGGACGGACTGAAAAGGAAAGTAGGAACATTATTTATGGACGGAGGGAGTATTATTTGTTCAACTTTGGAATTTTCATCTATAGTATTAATAATCATTTAAGAAATATACTCCGTATTTTTTATTTCAAAAAAAAATATTACATCAAAAAAGTTTTAGAATCGACAAAAATTTCGTTCGACCCCATCTGTCCAAGATGTACGCATCTGGTAAAAATTTTATCCCGTTACGAATGAAAACAGAAACACAATGGCGACATACAATTCCTCTGAACTCAAATAAGTGACAATTGCATGTTGCTATGTCGGTCTTCTTATCAAATGATACCCTAAATCTCTTTCGTATATCAATTCCATTTTTAGAAAACTCCTCATCCACTATATATGTGCATCCTTCTTCCTCCCTAACGATGTCACAATACATTTTACCAGTTAATTCGGCATGGAATTCTTTGAACTTAGACATCGTATACACCTCTTGAACTTGTTTTGTAACACCCCAACCCGCATAACCCAAATAAACAGATTAGCGAACCGGTTTGCTACTAAATTGGTATTCACATACATTATTTTCCAATAAATTAAAAACATTTAATTTAAACCACAAACAATTTAAAATAATTTAAATACATATCGAAGTTTATACAAATAGTGCGGAAGCCTTATAATTAAATCAAATATCAATTTTACTAAATCCCTGCACCCATGCATCTCCTCCGCCGTGCTGCTCTCCGGGATGGATTTCAGAATCAATCTTCCACAAGCACCTACGTGTAACAAAGGGAAAAAAGGCGCTACACGCTCAGCAATGAAGATGAGTGAGAAATATCTAACAGTTCGAGCATACACAAAGGTAAGGCTGTGCATCGGTCCAAACCCGGACCGACCCGGACCGGACCGGGACCGAATAAGAGCAAACTAATGGACCGGGGACCGGACCGATAAAGTGTAAGACCGGACTGGGACCGGACAGAAAAAACTGGACCGGTCCGTACCGGCCCGAATAAGGACCGAATAAGGGGGGAATATGCTATCCATTTAATTGAAACTGAAGATTTGCAAGGGGGAGAATGCGTACCTGTGGAGTGCGGACAGAGTGGACTGCTGGTCTGCTGCGAATATCGAATGATTGGGCGGAATCGTGCTCCGCTATGGATGGAGTTGAGAACCTGCTGCTAGTGCTGCGCTGCCGCCCCTACAGACAGAGTGCATGTCCTTTGAGTTTTCTTCTGTGAATCAGCGATGGCGAAATAGCAAATCGGCAATGGATAAGTGGATTTGCTGCTGGGCTGGATTATTTGGGGTAATGGGTATTGATGATAAATTAAGCCCTAAAGCCCATATAAATATAAACCCATATTAATGATATAACCGGTTCGGTCCACTGGTCTCATCGGATTTGGACCGGACCAGACAGGAACCCGGATAACGGAAATTGATGGACCAGAGACCGGACCGAATTAAGACCGGTCCAGACCGGTCCGGTCTGGTTTTGGCTGGTCTTTGGGTCGGTCATGGTTTGGACTGAATAATGCACAACCCGGTACATAGGCGAATCCAATAACTCACAATTATCACATGATAACATGCAGCACATAAGATACAAACAACAATGGTATACAAACAACAATGGTATACACAACATGCTTGGCAACAATCATACGGTGTACAAGATATAACATACATAATCAACGTCGTAACAGTTCATAAGATACAAACAACAATGGTATACATATTAGGAACTTTCCTTTTTAGTTTACTTACTTTCCTTATCGTACTTGGCTCTTAACCTATGCTAGGTTAAAGCTTAACTGAATTCGACTTGCCTATGGAGTCATGACCTTCCCCTTCGGAACGAAGGCCAAGCTCAAACCAACTCGGGAGTTCCTTGTTGGGTGGGTGAGATCCTGTCCCCTTCAAAACGACAGTTCTTAGATTCCCGTGTACAGGTTTTTACCCGAACAACCATTGGACCCAGCAGGTACCACATGGCTCTAACTAGCTATACTTATGGCATACATTGCCACTATTACATTTAGGTCGTTTCCTAGAGTTCTTCTAGGTGATATATCCAACAATTATTAATCAATACATAACACAACATTCATAAATCCACAATGCATTTAACACGATATCTAACATAATCAAGTAGCGGCCTAACACCAGGTGTGAACACCCATATTTACTGTCATGCTACACACGGAGTCTCGGAATCAATCCTTGACGAAAACATAGATCAACAAACCGTGCATCAGGTACCAGACGGTACCTATCACGGTACAGGGTACCGTCCTTACGATGCCTGGGTACCGGTCCTACAGTACCAGGGGTACCGTCCGAATCAATGGACTCTTTCGAGAGGACTGCTACGGTAGCCAACTACCGACTAGGCGGTAGGATCTACCGTCCGTCCGGTACCTAGATACCATACGGTTGCAGCTACCAGCAGAGGCAGAAGAAACCAACTGTGACGGTAGCACGGTACCGTCCTGGTGGTACCGCCTACCGTCTGACGCAATAATTTTCCAACTTCTTACTTGTTTCGTTTTTCAGCATCAGATCGGCAACAATCTCATAGCTCAACACCAATAGATTCATATTAACATTCTAAACATCATCAAACACATCAATTCATCAATCAACGCCTAAATCATGCGTACTACCCTTTTTGGTTTAATGGCAATATATCCCAAAACCACAATCAACAATTATACAGATAAATCACACAGATCAACCACGATAACAATTATGAACGGATTTCAAACCTAGATTCATATTCTAGTGTTAGATGTCCACGTACTCACCTCGATTCAATTTGAACGAATGTCGTTCGAAACCCATTGTCGGAACAGATCCACCAAATTGCCCAAACCGGTATTGCGGTCCCGGTTACCAGTGCTACGCGCACTGGCTGGAACAAGGAGGGAGATCACCGGAGTTGTTGGAGTCCGTTCGCGGGACACCTCGTCGATGGCCGGTCAATCCGCTGCTCGAGCTTGTAGGGTCGCGCCTGGCTTCACTGTTGCTGCCTGGACCAAATTGTCAGTGTCGCCAGCGTTGGAGAGTCGCCAGCGTTGCAGGGTCGCTGCCTTCCTCGCCAATCGCTGCCGGTCCGCCACTTCCCCGCATTCGGCATCGCTGAATCAACAGAGGGGGGTCTCCTATTCGCCGTCGATTGGGTTGCTGCGCTGCTGAGCCGAGGAAGCTGCCAGAAATTGAGAGAGGGAGGGAGAGAGTCCCCTGGTACTGGCGTGCTGGCGCTGATCGGAGAAGGAGAGGGATGGCTGCGTTGAATCGAAGAAGGAGATTACCTGGGCCGAGTCGCGTACCAGGTAGTATATATTTACAGGGTTTTGTGTTCTTTAATTTAATGTAACGTGTCTGGGTAAAACACACTTTTCGGGTCAACTTGCTCTGAATTGAGATTTGTTCGCGTCATTGGATTCAATTCATCGATCCCTACCCAACTTTATAACTTTTATATTTAATTGAAAACATTTATACATTCCACTTGATCCGTCTTAATTCTTTCGATTAATTAATAACGATCAGTCCCTTAATTTAAATATTTACAAATATAACCAGATTAGTCTCGTTTTATTAGAATCTCTAAAATATCTTTTAATTCTTTAACATAATAGTTTATCATAAATAAATAATTCTTATTTATTCAATTATTGATTAACTTCTGGGCATTACATGTTTCTCCATAAGAAAGTTGTCATTAGTGGAATACTTTTTCCAAATGACTGGGCATCTGCGTGGAAATCATATTCCACCTTTTTTCGCAAAGCTCGCTCATACTGTTCCACAAATTGCGACAAAGATGTCTTTGAATGAACATATCCATCAAAAATGGAGTTCATGCTTTCACTCCTTTGTGTTGTTGACATACCTGGGACAAGGCATTATGTTAACAAAGCATACACAATTTATAATAGATAAAATATTTGTGAAAAATTTCCATCATGTAATTACATTAGAAATACCTGCCCGGAAAGAGGTTTTCAAAAAACAAGGAATCCATCGATGTCTCTCCATATACAAACCTTTTAGCCACTCATTGTTTTGCAGTCCACAACACTTAATCATGTCTTTCTAACCCAACTCAAACTCGGCAATGTCGTAGGTATTGTAAACAAGAGCATTCAACTTAGAAAGTATCATATCTTTAGCTAGGGATCTTGAAAACTTCTCAGTTGCTTTCTTCATAATATGCCACAAGTAGGGGTGTTCATCGGTCTAAAACAGGACCGGACCAAGACCGAACTGGATTAGACCGAAGACCGAAATATGCTAAAACTTAGACCGAAGACCGGACCTAAATGTACTCGGGTTTGGACCAGGCCGAACCAAATTCATATGGACCGAACCGGAAAGACCGAAAACACCGAATCCATGCTTAAAATTGAGTTTAGTTTTTTTTGCTGAAAAAAAAAGCAGTACAATTGATGGAGAAGAAGATTAGAGAGGGCCGACTGGAAACAATAGGACCGGACCAAGACCGAACTGGACCAAAAGACCGAAGACCGAAATATGCTAAAACTTAGACCGAAGACCGGACCTAAATGTACTCGGGTTTGGACCAGGCCGAACCAAATTCATATGGACCGAACCGGAAAGACCGAAAAGACCAAATCCATGCTTAAAATTGAGTTTAGTTTTTTTTGCTGAAAAAAAAGCAGTACAATTGATGGAGAAGAAGATTAGAGAGGGCCGACTGGAAACAATTAAATTAAAACTGAAATCAGTTTTAATTTTTTAAAGATATTATATTATAAAATAATTGAAATTAGGTTAAAAGAAATAGCCTATTAGTGTAATATGGTATTACCTGGAATTTTGGAATGGCTGGAATGATTAGAATGCTTCTGGGGTGCTGCCTGGTAGGAACTGTATTAGACACCCATCTGATCAGTAAACATGAAGCCCTGTCACCGATTACCTACAGTATGAGAACGGCTTAGTTTCATTTGAAACTTGGGATTTCACACTGATAATATCTATTAAATATCTATCAATATATGCTGTTACAGGTGCGTATAATGTGTTATGTTTATGAATATTTTAAAAAGATAATATCAATGCAGCCACTACCCTGTCATTTTAGAGTAAACAACCCTATGAAATGGGTTTGTTTACTCTAAAGGGCCACTAAATATGTAAGTACTTTTTTGACTGAATCACTGCCGATTGTCTAAGGCTGGTGTGGCGGTGTGCCTACTTCCAAAGTTGGAGAAGAAGATTAGAGAGGGCATTCGCAGAATCGCAGTCCAATTAATGAAGTCTTCGCAGTCCAATTGAAGCCTTTTGCTGTCGCCCTTCGTCGGTCCAGTGGGTAGCGTATGAATAGGTGAATCCCTGATTTTTAGTTTTGAGAAGATCGGCCGTCGCCCGTCGGTTTACTCCGAGACAAGGAGCTCCATTCGGTTTTGAGAAGGTGACGATTGGGAATTGGGTTTGAGATGGATATTTCAGTATATTTGGGCTTTAAAAAATAGATATGGGCTGGACTATTAGACCAATTGGGAATTAAATATTTAAATGGACTATTCGGTCTATTCTGTCCAGACCGATTGTGAATCGAGTTTAGACCGGACCGGACCGAAACCCGAAATGTTAAATATATAGGACCTAAGACCGACCCGAAATCAATTTGGTCCGGGTTCGGTCTGGACCTATCGGTCCAGTTTGGTCGGTTTTTTCGGTCTGGACCTAAACATGAACAGCCCTAGCCACAAGCACCATCAGTGTTTGGTGCTTGGAAATACATTAGCAATTGCCTTTTGCATAGCTTGGCATTGGTCAGTAATTATTCCACGAGGCGGAATACCCCCCATACATTCCAACCATGTTTTGAAAAGCCATACAAAAGACGTTGAGTCTACGTAACCTACTAAACCACACCCGAGGAAAACAGACTGCCCATGGTGGTTGACACCAACAAATGGGGCAAAGGGCAAGTCGTATTCATTTTTCTAGTAAGTTGTATCAAAAGTGACAACATCGCCGAAGTACTTATATGCACCACGAGTTCGTTTATCAGCCCAAAATAAATTTCGTAATCTTGACTCCTCATCAAGATCAATGTTTGATATACACATATTTTATACACTTTTTAGGCATATTTTGAAGGAGTTTTTGAGTCCCAATTCAATTTAATGTTTACATTTTATTTCATTTTTCCGTTTTATTTTTGGAGAACAGTCCTATGCTTGGTTTTATATGTTTTGCGACCATTTTGGAACATTGAGAACAATTTCAAGAACGGAAAATAAACATGGAAGTTTGGGACCAAAATATATGGAAGAGATTTGAAGGAAAGAAGAAATTAAACAAAAATAAGGGAGAAACACACCCCTGGGATTCGAACTCTGGACGTGTGCAAGTGGAATCAGAGCTTTGACCATCACAACGCAACAAGTTATTTGTCTTTTCACGGGCGGACATAAAAAATGTTCCATGATGAAATTCAGCCATGAATTGAGAGAGAAAAAATGACAAAACAATGAACGGCGAGATGCTTCGAACACGGGTTACGGAGCACGACCACCAGCTTCATTTCCATGTGCACTACAAGAGATGTTTTGACATACTCCGTATTATACTACTGTTTGTATATACTCCGTAGATACGAATTTATCTATAAAATCTCATCTCCTCTCTTCTTTTAGAGGGGTTGGAACCCCCATTTTCTCCCCTTAAAGAGGATATAACACATGTTTTACTCTTATTCGGGGGCTTTTTTTAGAAAATTGAATAAAGCTAACTCCTATATATATATATATATATATATATATATATATATATATATATATATATATATATATATATATATATATATATACACTGTGGTTCCCCCGTGTAGAGATGGTCACAGGGTTGATTGGCGAACCACACCACCCGGGTTCGATCCTCAGATGGGGCAACTTTAGGGGAATTTTTAGGGAGTTAAGCGTGCTGGCCATGGAGTAGCAGAAATGATGGGTGACCCGCAGGGAAGTGTTTGTAGATTTATGGAGTTGGGCTTTAGATTGATCTTTCATTGGGCTTCTTATAGTGGCCTATCTGCCTCGGGTGTTTAACGGGTCCCGGGGTGGTCACGAGGTTAACGGACCTCGGGCCCCCTACTTGTAACCGACCGTTCCAATAATATATATATATGTACATATATATATATATATGTACATATATATATATATGTATATATATATATATATATATATATATGTATGTATATATATATATATATATATATATATATATCTGTGTATACATACATATATATGTATACATATATATATATCTATCTATGTATACATACATATATATGTATATATATATATATATATATATATATATATATATATATATATATATATATATATATATATATATATATATATATATATATATATATATATATATATATATATATATATATATATATATATATATATATATATATATATATATATGGGATTGACTCCAGTCAGATGACATGTTTCGCTCAGATGACAACGAATGCTCATTCTCAATCAATGTAGTGCTCATTCTTAAACAACGTAGGATTCATTCTCACACAACTGTTCATCACAATGTAATGTTCATTCATAGCCAGCGAGACGACAACATAGGGTTCATTTTGAATCCACGCAGCGTTCATTCTAAGACATCGTAGGGTTGACTTTCACACATTTGTTCATTATAAACGTAGTACTCATTCTGAAACAACTTAGTACTCATTCACATTCTACACAGTGTAGTTATGTCCCCATAGTCCAATCCATCAACAAACTGGAGAGTGATGTTTTCCTGAGAATGGTCCACGCAGTCTGTAAAAAACTTCCAATAATAGAAAACATCTCCAGGAACCTGCGCCCGCCCTTTCCTTTAGCCACACTTACTGCAAAACATTGACCTTTTTCATATGGGAATCCCGCTGTTATGACACAATGAAGTTTATTCACACTAACCAGCAGATCCAAGGCTAGTCTTGCTGTACTACCGATTCAGAAACCTCAATTAATCTGACCAATGTATTGTTCTGCATCATAATTCTAAACCCAGTAACATGAGACACGAGCAAAAAGCCCAAGAGTCTTCTTTACTAGGCACAAGAACCTGAGCCCCTGGGAAGTGTTTATAGATTTATGGAGTTGGGCTTTAGGGTATGGAGTTTAGATGTATGGCGCATATATATGGATTGGATTGTTTGGAAATGAAACCAGATTCAAATTGGAAGATATTCTTCCGAAACCACATTTAGATTGGTGGGTATTAATCGGATGGAGTAGAAAGGGTATTTTTGGAAAGTCAACTCCATTTTTACACACCACTAAAAATAAAGCCCGGTCAAAGCAGGAAATTAGTTTTAGGACTGTAAGTAGAAATCATCAAAAGTACTACAATACAAAAGGTGACAAGAATACTTTATTTTATTAAATGAACAATGAAAAGATACAAAAAACAAAATGAATCTCTTGGCCCCCTTGGCATGACTCCACATGAAAAACGAACACTGTTTTGGAAAATGATTTTAAATCCATAATCTTGTTTTATATGTCTTGGGAACTGCCTCTCTACTTTCAAGCATGACTCAGGTCTACATACACACTCTCTCCCCATACCTTTTATGATTTTGTTTGTAATCTAGTTTTACATGTCAACAAAGCATGAGAAGGTGCCACAATACATGAGCTTATATCAGAAGTCATAAAAGTGCTAAATGCAAAAAATATAAAAGATATATATTACTCCCTCCACCCGGTATTAAAGTAACTATTTTGACTTTTGTTCATTTTCATGGGAAGTTGGCTATGGTGCAATTTGATTAAAATGCCATTCATGTCCTTCCTTTGTCAGCCTCACCGAACACAGCCCCCAACCACTACCGCTGCCCCTCCGTCGCCCCCAGCCCCACCACCGCCTCTTGCGCCGACCATCTTTGTCAGCCCCCTTCGCCATCGCCCCACCATC